AACTGCCATAAAAACAACAGACAAACAATTCCTAGTCATCCACCGGAAATAGTTGAACGCTATTACGCAGACTGTTCTTGTTTCTGGTCATGAAAGTCAGAATTATAACTAAAGTTTGAAACGCAAACATGGCTTTAAAAGAGAAAAAATGTAATATAATGACTTTAATGCCATGAGTAAATAACATGAAAGTCTAATGGTTTGATGCAAAAACGGAAAGTGCTTTCTTTCTTTTTGAATTTCGCACTTTGGACAAATATCTCTTCAAATAACGTGTTATCAGCAATAGTCATAATTTAATTAACATTTTAATATTTGTTGTTACGTTCATAATATAGAGTCGAGGTAAAGAAAATTTATGTATACCTGCTATTCTTAATGAGATGCAATTAAATATAAATGGTATGACCCGACTAGCCTATAGGGGCGTTAGTCATAGAGAGGTGAAGGTCACATTTTAAACTATCTTAGATAAAAATGCGTAATTTATAATTATGAAGGACATTAATGATAAACTTAAAGCGATGCGCGTTTTCTTTCACATTTGATATATAATATACCACAATACGTATAATTTATATGACCTTGAAATCAATCGCGCACTGTTCAAAAAATATAAACTTATAAATATAATTATATATATTACTGAAGCGTGCCCTGTACGTGATAAGAAATTTCCCACTGGTATATTACGTAACTTAATTTGATATGTTAACCGTAGAAAATATCGCATTTGAGATAAACTTAAACTCGAAATAGCTTAAATTATAACTTGTAAAAACGTTAATAACTAAATCTCTGCTGCTGTAATATAGTAGCCAGATAAGTGTTTAGTAGATAAAAGGTTATTCTTTTCATACAGGCGCGGCTCAAGATTGTTGTTTTTTATCTGAGGGGTTAGTGAATTTTGCCAGTCCCAAGAAAATTTGACGTGCTAATAGTATTCTAGGGGGGAGGTGGTCTTGAATTAAATTTTATTTGATGTTCACAATATCCAGACGTTGATGTATGTTACGTTTAACCCCTGCTTTCCTGCTTTCCCCACCCTAAGTTCCCCCTTGAGGTTTAAGTGCAGTTACCTTCTCTGACAAAATATGTGCCAATTCAGCAAATAGATATTTTTTCTGAACTTTATTTATAAATTATTTTGAAACATTTTGTTAAACTTTATTTAAACCCGAAACTTAGATTACTTATCACCAAGCATTCAAGATATCTAGATCAGATGACACTATGAATTTAAGTTTCCATTGTGTTTAAACTTGAAAGGTAATCGCTTAAATCCCGTTTTGCTACAAAATAAAAAACATAGTATGTAGTGACCTGGTTTATAGCCACCACCTTTATTGTCAAATAAAGGTGTTTTCGTTTGAAGAAAAAAAACATCTTAAAAGTACTAATTAAACGAGAAAATATTTACTGTATCGCGACCTTCAATTTTCGGTCAAGTTTAATTACATACAGGCTGATAAATAAAACATCTGACCCATTATCCGAAGTTTTGCTATTTGCTAAATTATATCTCGGGTCACATAAATCTTTTTTTGTATATTCAAAGGGAGATTAACTTGAACAAAAAGTTAGACGCTTTAATAGCGGCCAAGGATCACATAAACACCCTTTATTCTTACAGCCAGACCGTGAACATCGTGTCAATCAACAATGTCTCTTTAAGGCTTTAAACATTATTTAAATTCAGTTTCCTGAGAAAAAATAGTGATTTAATCTACAATATAGATGTATAACACGAGTCATAAGTGAGGACATTTTTAGACGAAATTTTGACTCAGTTTTGGTCTTAAGACTGCAATTTTTTACCCTTCCTGTCACCCTTCTAAGTAATAGTGATAATACATCGACCAGAATATGCTATTTATGTTTAATCTCTTACTGCATGAGCATTTTGTAAAAAATGGCTGTTTTCATTAAAAAGCATCCTGTTAAAAGTTCAAATTGCTATGAAACTGTAAAAAAAGACTTCAATACTGTTCATACTTGGCACAAATGTTGACTGGACCATATCCATTGTAACGTCTCAAATTTCATGTTACCATGGCAATGTGATACCATCTTACAATTGCCAAAAATCTTATTTTTCCATAAAAACTGATTTTAAAGTGTTTCAACTTCTCAATGGATTGAGATAGAGTCAAAGACTTTTCATCGTTAGTTAAGGTCGACCTGAGGCCTTTTTTAGGTCAAAAATATTATTGGTGGGGTCTGCTGCCACCCCCTTCAAGCCCCCAAGCACAAGGGGTAAATCCCTTAAGTAATGGGTATATTAACATTAAACATGTACGCAAGCGATCTAATACCCCACTGTAAATAAGTGTATTTCATAGTTTTTTGGGACTCTCTGAAGTATACTATGGTTTTTTTCATGACTATTTTCAGAATTATTGTGAACCATGTCTACATCTGCAGCATTACGTGGCTTCTCGGCATCAACAGATAAAAATGTACTCAAACATTACATGTCACTGGAACAGCCTGATGACAGGGTTATGTGCGAGTATCTCTGGGTGGACGGTACAGGAGAGGGAATTAGAAGCAAATGTCGAACTCTAGAATATGAACCACAAAAACCAGAAGGTATACTGTACAATGTCATCAAAATGAAGAAAAAGAAAAACTTTCAGTTTTAAAAATATTTAAATATGAGCTTTTTTCACTTTTTTCTGAACTATTTTAATAACAAAATTTCTTTTTGTATGTATACTGTGAAAATCGTTCAAAAACGTATTAGAACATTTTAGAAATTTTTAAAGGTGGTTACTAAGGTACAGAATGTTCTCTTATGTATAATGTAGACTGTAAGTGTTTATATAGATATACACATTGAATGATGAATGGTGTAATACCATATGACATTATAATACTATACCATAAATATGCATGTTTTTTTTATTTTATTTTTTTGAACAGATTGTCCAGTATGGAATTATGACGGATCGAGTACATACCAAGCGGAGGGATCGAACTCGGACATGTATATATACCCTCGTGCAATCTTCAGAGACCCATTTAGACGAGGCAAAAACAAGCTCGTGCTGTGTGAAGTGTTCAAGTACAACAATGAACCTGCAGGTACTCTATTTTAACTCGAAATACCTTTCTTCAGTGTAACCAGTCTTAACATTTTCAATACATTTTTGGTCGGGTTGCACTGGTGCAAACCCGGGTTATAGTATGGTGAATGTTGGGCGGCGGGCGGGCGGGGAAAAAACTTTCGTAACAGTTTTCTCAGCAACTACTAATCATAGCCTTTTGATATTTGGTATACAGCATCAACACATGGTCCCATACTGTGGGATTCGATTTCAGGTCTGTCGCTCATCTACTTCCTGTTTGCCGACTTAGTTAAATTTTCTACATTAATGGTCAGTAGTAGAAAATTTTCGTAACAGTTTTCTCAGCAACTACTTATCACAGCCTCTTGATATTTGGTATACAGCATCAACACATGGTCCCATACTGTGGGATTCGATTTCAGATCTGTCTCTCATCCACTTCCTGTTTGCCGACTTAGTTAAATTTTGACATAATTAATGATCAATAGATAGTAGGAAATTTTCTTAACAGTTTTCTCAACAACTTCTTACCACAGCCTCTTGATATGTGGTTCACAGCATTGACATGACTGTGGTCCCATATTGTGGGATTCCATTTCAGGTCTGATGCTCATTCTTTTCAGGTTTACCAACTAAGTTAAATTTTCAACATCAATGGTCAGACAGTGGTAGAAAATTTAAGTAACATCACAGCCTCATGATATTTTGTATACATATGCAACCCGGCATTTTCTGTCTTTGACCCATTTTTATTTCCATTTAATATAGGACAACATTAATACATTAAGAATATCACATGAATGTTATTATCATCTTGTTTAGAGCTCACAATGATGTAATTGAAATGAATACTTTTATTTGAAATGTTTACCTTTCGTAAAGTACGAATAGGATAATATAACAAAACTTGCGGAATTATTTTGTATTAAGAATATTCGTTTATCAGCACGTATATGATGTGATTGGATGACGCGAGCAAAGCAATGTGTTGTATAAGGAAATATCGATTTGAATGTACATATAATACTTGTTTTGCTTGTTTGCCTATTTTTCCCATCAGATCACTATTATATGATAAATTATAATTGGCGTGTTATATGACCCAGTATTAACGTCTGATACAGATTGGATCGTTTATATAAAGCATGGCCTTTTAACGCTTTAAAAGTGGTAATAAAAATTATGGTACTGCATTACTTTCTTTGGGCCAAACAAAATAAGATCATTAATTTTTGTAAAAATATAAACCTTTATATCATACAGCTTTGCCGCATGTTTTCTTTTTCAAATGTTGCACAACTTGGTGTGCATGTTTCATAACTAAATACATGTACACTGCATGCGTTGTCATTCGTTATGATGATTTGAAAGCTTGTCTTTCTATTTATAGAAACCAACAAAAGACTTACATGCGCAAAAGTCATGGAAGCGGCAAAGGACTCAAAACCTTGGTTTGGCATTGAACAAGAGTATACACTTCTGGATTTTGACGGTTACCCATTTGGCTGGCCAAAGAATGGATATCCTGGACCTCAAGGTAACCCCTAAAAAGTCCCCTTTAACATAAGAACATGTGTACGTGTAGTATAATTATATAAAAGATATCTCTTCAACGTATCATTATTTTAGTTTTACATTTTACCATTACTGTTTTCAATACAACTCGAGTAAGGTACAAAGTATCATTTTATGTTGTATTTATATAGGTAATTGTCACTTTCTAGCATTTAACTACATAACTGATGTTTCTAAAATATACCAATGTTTTTCTTTTTGTTATCAATCGTTCTCTATTATTTCAGGACCTTACTATTGCGGCGTTGGTGCTAACAAAGTATACGGCCGTGACATTGTAGAAGCTCACTACAGAGCTTGTTTGTACGCAGGCGTCAAAGTAGCCGGTTGTAACGCTGAAGTTATGCCAGGACAGGTAATCACGTTTAAACACTTTTAGTACAGTACAGTAAGAGTTGCTTTCCTTGATTCTACTCAAATATACAATGTAGCATAACTAATAATGGCATATCAGCTAAAGTCAACTATAAATAAATATAAGATATTATAATTTTTGTAAGAATGATCATATGTTTAAATGGACACAAATGAGCGAATGATGCCCAACATAAACATCTTGGTTCTATTTTTGTACCCATGATCATTTATTCATATCAACAAGGAATTTGTGAACGGCCGTCATATTTCGCTGATACTCGTTTACAACAATGATCAAATGGTTAACAGAACGCATTTTAATCAAATGATTGATACGGATGGACAAATTAAATATATATAATATATAAGTAATGTATAATTTATATATACAAGTTCTTAATAAACATAAGAACTTTTCACATTCTAGTGGGAATTCCAAGTCGGTCCATGCGAAGGGATTGAAATGGGTGACCATTTATGGATTGGACGTTACCTGTTGCACAGAGTGGCGGAGGATTTCGGTGTAAATGCCACATTAGACCCGAAACCTATGGAAGGGGATTGGAACGGGGCTGGGGCCCATTGTAACTACAGCACGCTAGCAATGAGACAAGAAGGTGGTTTAAAGTGAGTGCTTCATAATACTAGTAAATGTTGTCTTGTTTATCTTGTATAAAACAAAATATATTTAAAAGGGTAAAGTGTTTTTTCGGGACAAATGACTTTGATTATTTGAACATTATAGTAATACGTTTTTGTTTCCATTTAAGGGTAATTGAAAAGGCAATTGAGAAACTATCCAAAAATCACGTAAGACATATTCGGGCCTATGACCCAAAAGAAGGGAAAGACAACGCTCGTCGACTGACGGGACTTCACGAGACTTCAAGTATCCATGACTTCTCGGCCGGAATCGCAAATCGTGGGGCTAGTATCCGGATCCCCCGACAGGTGGCAGCAGACGGGTACGGTTACTTGGAGGACCGCCGACCGTCTTCCAACTGTGATCCTTATACCGTCACTGAAGTAATTGTACAGACAACAGTTTTGGATAAGTGAACAAGACATTCTGAGATGACAAGTGAAAAATGTTGTAACAATTTTATCTAGCATAATAGAAAGATTTATATATCTATAAATGTCAGAATATTTGAATGGTTAGGGGTAAATGTTCATTTTTTCCCATTCATTATAGCAAGTAAACCAGGAACGTTCCCGCTCACTTGTCATTATAGTGTTTACCACTTTATACAATTCTCCATGATTTGAGCTGGAAATACTTTATAACATGTAACTATCCATGTTCATGTATTATATAGATACATTAATGTCATTTTCTTGACTTTGACATTTAATTATCAAAATATTTTTGATATGTTTATATATATGTTTACTTTAATGGGGGTGAGTCATTGTTATTTTCATATAAACTTGGAATTATTTACATATATACTTTGTTTTGCATTACAGAAATATACAATTTATACACCACTAGTACACCTATACTTACTTATATAATACATTTGAACTCTTATCGTACTGGTGCCAGTAGATCGGTGTGACCAGTGCAGACCAAGATCAACCGACACACCTGTTCTCTGTGAACATGGTCTGAACTGTTCGCTATTAGGTCAATTCATGATTAGAACTTTTTCCGAAAATTATGAATAGTTTTGAGACGATTGATTTAAGGACAAGTCTTTTAAGATATTTAGCTTAATGTTTGAACTTCAGGAAGAACTTGAAATATCCGCTTAAACTTTATGTTTTATAACATCATCAACGTTGTTTACATATCTAACAAACAATCTAGTATTGAACCATCGGTTGAAGTTTAGTTTTTTTATATATCAATATTACATTACTGAGTGCGTAATATTTTGGAATTGATCCCTCTTTCCTATGGAAAAGTACTAATAAAATAATACACGTGGAAACTTGTGCTTTTACCTTTCTTCCTTTAAAAGTTTAAAACTAGAAATGTGTCCATAGGACACGGGTGCCCCACCGCGTCACTGTTCTGTCAATCTTATGACTCTAGGTCAAATATTTTTTGAAAACTAAAAATTTTACTAAGTAAAGGGCAAGAACTTTACAAATACTGAATAAATCCACAAGCAAACCCTAAGGTGCATAAGTACACATGCTGACCAACATTCTTGTAAACTTTCAGGCCTACAAGTGAAATACTTTTTGAGCCATGCATAAACAAGTTGAAAATTGCAAATGTTTACTACTGTAAGTCAAGGGCAATAACTCTAACAAAACTGAAAAAAATCCACATGCAAAGTCCCAGGTGCATAGCTTTACAGTGATGTGAATCATTATTCCTGTATTTTAGTGATGTTGATCATTATTCCTGTAAAGTTGGTTGATTCTAACTCAAGCACTCAAGGAACAAATAATAACATAATGAAACAGTTTTTACTAAGTCAAGGGAAATAACTCTACAAATACTGGTTTTATCCACAAGCGAAACCCCAGGTGCAAAACTTAATATGCTGAGCAACTTTCCCGTAAGGTTTAATGACTCTATGTTAAATCCTTTTTGAGTTACATGCGACACAAGTTGAAAATTGCAAAAAATTTCTAGATCAAGGGCAATAACTCTAAAAATACTAAAAATATCCAGACGAAAATACCCAGGTGCACAACAACACATGCTGATCAACATTACTGTAAAGTTTCATGACTCTATGTCAAATCCTTTTAAGTTACATGCGACACACGTTGAAAATTGCAAAATTTTACTAAGTCAAGGGCAATAGCTCTAAAAATACTAAAAATTATCCAGACGAAAAAACCCAGGTGCACAACTACACATGCTGATCAACATTCCTGTAAAGTTTCATGACTCTATGTCAAATCCTTTTTAAGTTACATGCGACACAAGTTGAAAATTGCAAAATTTTACTAAGTCAAGGGCAATAGCTCTAAAAATCCTAAAAATTATCCAGACGAAAATACCCAGGTGCACAACAACACAATCTGATCAACATTCCTGTAAAGTTTCATGACTCTAGGTCAAATCCTTTTTAAGTTACATGCGACACAAGTTGAAAATTGCAAAATTTTACTAAGTCAAGGGCAATAACTCTAAAAGTACTAAAAATATCCAGACGAAAATACCCAGGTGCACAACTACACATGCTGATCAACATTCCTGTAAAATTTCATGACTCTAGGTCAAATGCTTTTTGAGTTACATGCGACACAAGTTGAAAATTGCAAACTTTTACTAAGTCAAGGGCAATAACTCTAAAAATACTAAAAATATCCAGAAGAAAATACCCAGGTGCACAACTACACATGCTGATCAACATTCCTGTAAAGTTTCATGACTCTAGGTCAAATACTTTTTGAGTTACGTGCGACACAAAAGTGAACGGACGGACGTAAGGACGGACAGACAAGGGTAAATCTAAATGCCCGCCACTAAAGTGGGGGCACAAAAATAAAATAATTAAGCTTTAAATAACCGTCACTGTTATTTGAATGCCACCAATGAAATAAAATAATAGTTCGAAGCAAAAAAATATATTTCAATTAAATCTGATAAACTATTATTCAACACGTTAAGTTACAATACATGAATATTAATGTACTGCATACTTACAAAAACGTGTGTAATTAACCGGCATTTAAGATAAATGATTAATTGTTTAATTAACCCGACATGTAACAAAACATTGTTGATTAATTGTATAAAGTCAGATTATGGTAAAAACTTCATCAGCGTGATCTTGTCTCTTTTCAGTTCTAATGTGGTTTTATTTTATAATATGCATAAATTATGAATCTAATTATACATGTATATACATGTACATTAGTGCAGTTTAATTAATCGGCTGTTTTAAATTCCTCGCAAATAACTTGCAACGTGAAAACAACTTGTGAACCATTGAAAACGGTGTTTCAGCAGTCGAGATATCAGTATCGGGAAGATATAAAGATTATTGTTTTAAAATATTCGTGAATTACATATTTTAAAGTTATGATGTACTGTTTTTCTAAACAAGTCGGAAGATAAGATATCACAAATTCACAATAACATTACTTATATCCGAAGTTTAAGGGCCGAGAAGATGCGATTGACGAACAATGACCTTGACCTACATACAATCTAAATAACAGCTGTTGTGTTTTCAAATAATAATACGCACATGCTTTTTTTATTTGTCTTACTCTTTTGTCATTTGACTGTCTTAATTAAAGCAGTTATTTTTTTAATTTTATTTCATTTATTTATTTTTTTTGTTTACTTTGACCTCTGAGGGTTTGCGCGTGTTGTTTTCAAGATATTTATGCCGGCTCGCCACGGCGAGCCGGTATTACGTTAGGATTTTACTTAGAAACAACCTAAAACTCCGAATCCATCCAAAAATTTTATCGAAGCTTGGCTTCTAGCTTTCTACAAAATCTATCTGTCTGGGCTGGAATCCAAAATAATTAAGCCAATCAAATTTGATCTTACATAGCGTCAAAAAACCTTCAATTTTCACGCCATTTTTAAAAAGGAACAAGTATTGCTTTGAGCGCAAAGATGATAAAATATTTGTTTTCATGAATTCTTTTCAATAAATCATATTTACACTGACTTTTGATTTAGCGATTTCACCTGTTTTCTCTGTAGTAAGTTAAATAATTAACAATTAATTGGTTAATTAACATAAGTGTACATCTGGTTCTGTGCATATTTTCTTTTTCTTTTTTTTTCCGGTAAGTTTATCCTTTCCGGTATTTTGTGTATGTATTTACTGGGCAATCGCAACTACTCGGCCCTTTCCGTCAGTCTTCGGATAAGGACAATATTGTAGATAATGGCCGAGGCAGTTCCGAATGTTTACTGGGATATACTATTCTCCGGTCCGGTCGCTTCCGGTCTCTCCCGGTCTATTTTGACCGGGATTTACGAGACTTGAGAACTTGTACAAACCAAATGATTATGCCCCATGAATCTAAATTCGCCCACACCCTAGTCAAAATATATTGACGTGCCAAAGCTTGATTCTGAGATATTTTCGTTCTGGGGCAGAATCTCGCTTTAAATTTTTGTAGAGGCGAGATATTGCCCAAACACGAAAATAGTCGCGCAGTACAATTAGTTGGACTACCCACACCTAAGAGAGTTCTTCAGTAATATATTCCTGTATAGGACTTGTGTCTGTCACTCATTCCAATACTAAATAACATATTACAACTTAACTTTGTATAAAGAGACATCTTTATGAATTCTACCTATCTAACAATTTTTGGTCAAGGTCAACAGGCCATATAGTAAATGTGCATAGACATAGGGACTTCATTCTATCTGTTTACATGCATCTTCACATATACTCATATTCCCCTCTGTTAAACTGAGAGAACTGGCTTCCGTAACTTTATATGTCACTTTTATTTTGATGTTCGCTGAAGTCTCTTCAGGTACAGAACTGTCATTTTTACATTTAAACACACCCCTGGAATAAAATTACGAAGCGAGTCGCTACTAGCTTTTTTAAAAGCTAACCTTGTATATAAATAAGTTGTTAAATAGATGTTGTTGTGAACAGTTTATGGAAAATTGTTCCTCAGTTGGCTTACACGCAAAGACTATTTAATCGTTTAATTTTTTACACATCTCAAACATTTATATTAATTATATCAACTATTGAAAAGATTGAGTCCACACTTTTTCTTTTATAAAACAAGTTAACAATTTTCTAACCGCATGGTAAACTGAAATAGATAATAAATTATGAAAGTTCAAGGTTAAAACTCTGCCAGTGTTTTTGTAGGAATAATCCTAAGTTTAGTCTTAAATTACACTTAAGATTTTTCTTGAAACGTAGTTTCATCCAAGTTTTGTACTAACGACAAAAAACAGGCCTAAGCTTTTTTTATGGAATGCTTCTCTACTACCTCTGACCTAGAAATAACACACAACTTACGCAATGCCTAGTTATTGGCGACGCCGGTGAGTGGCGTCGTCTCTTATGGAATGCTTTTTATTTTGGCCTATGGAAGGAGCTGTTATTATTAGCAGTTAATGTCATGTTGTGTTAATTAGTTTTATTTTGATTCGTAAAAATCAAGTAAACAAATATGTTGTTATATTTGTATTTAATAACTTTATGTAAAAAGCATGTGCATTGTGATATTATTTTCACGAAATTGCATGCTCAGTTTAACAGCTTGTCCCTTAGTTACTAAAACCCGGATTTCGAATATCGTTGTGGTCTACATTGATGCCGTATCCCTTCATTCATTTATATATTTTCAAAATTTTCCTACAAGAAGAAAGTGCACCTGCAAATGAATATTAGGATAGGTAATGAACTGTTGTAAACGAATATCCTATTGATTTTATCCATATTACGTTTATCTGTTGCACAGAATGTTTGTTTTTACAAAGTGTACCAGTATCCGGATGTTGAAACCTATCCGATTTTCTGCAATTACTGCTGTCACATGTCCATCTATTTTTTATGAATACTTTACCATTAATTTGCATGGCTTAATAAAACTGAGCCTGCAACATTTCATAATTTTGCTGTTTAGGGTGTTCTTTTTGGGTTTTAGGTTTTCTATATTTTAAGGGGAAGTAACTCATGTTTACTAAATTATTTGTTCTTTTCTGTCTATCTTAGGTATTACTTACTATTTTTGTTGTATAAAATTTACCAGTTGTAAGGTTATAAAAAGCATGTTAATGTTAGGATTTCATATTTATTTAATTATTAATGTTATGTGCATACATGTATATCTTAGTATATTGATATGATGAGACTTATAATATTTCTGAATTTAAAGAGTTACAGTTATGTCATTATCATTAAAGGGATGAGACTTTCATTTAAAGTTATAAATGATAATACATGTATTGATTGAAAATGTCCTTAAACTTGGATCAAGCAATATAATTAGTAAAGTCTCAAAAAATCATATTCTGAATAGTTATTCTAATTTTTTTCTAACATGTGCATAGTTTGAAAAGGACAGCTTCTGTCTTATCTATTTGTTATGGAGGGACACCAGTCTCAACCTCCAGGTCTCCTGAGTCAACCCGACAACAGACTTTTCATAAAGTAGATTGTTACTTGCCCTTGAATAAATTTGTGCACTAAATTTTATAGTGGATTATTAGTGCCATATGAAAACCAACAAAGTACAAAAAGTAAGCGGGCACCAGATGAAAACATGAAAATACAATCTACCACAATATGGTTCGTTTGTTGCATTTTCATGTTTTCGACCGGTGCCCTTGGTGCAAAATACAAGTCAGGCTTCATAAAATTTCTTATCATAGAAAAAAGGTTAGTTTTTTATCTGTACAAAAAATAGATATTGTACATGTTTTAGCACAGTTATGTTCACTTTCAAATTGACCTGTTATAATAATGGCACAACCAATAACTGTCCAAGCCCTTTTTAGTAAAAATGATTATACAATAATATATAAATTGTTATTTTAATTAAGACTATGAGTATGTAAGGTTTTTTTTTCTTATTTATTAATTAAGAATTAATTATCTGTTAATTTAACAAATCTAAAAGTATCTGTCATGGTTTAGAACTGTTCACTATTTAGGGGAGAAAATGTGTAAGCGGCCAGATAGCTTAATCGCTACAGCTGCGGTACATTATTCTGTGGGTCACAGGTTCGAGTTCTGGTCAAGCTGAACGTTTTACTTATCCTGTGACTGCATATAAGCATGAGTTCAATTCACTATGCTCTGTAAACATAAGAAATTCAAGGACACAAATCAATATAGTTGGGAAATATGTTGTGGTTTAGAACTGTTTCATTATTAAAGAGAAAATGTGTAGCCTGTCGGATAGCTCAGTTGGTCTTCTAAAAAACATGGGTTCGAGTCATGGTCAGGCAGTTTCGGTCAAGGTTTAGAAGTGGTTTTTCAACTGACACATGTTTGATTCATTTAACAGATTGCATTAAATTTGAAATGGACAAAGGCAGTATTGCATGATACTTTGAGATCTACAATAGGCATTTGATACAGTTGATCACACTATACTGCACATGAAGAAGTTCTTTTTCTTCTTCTTCATGAAACTTCAAGCATCTGCCATATGTAATGACATTCTTACATGGTTTAAGTCTTATCTCTGATAGACAGCAGCTGGTGGTTGTGGCTGGTACTCATTCTACTACTGCTCTGAGTACCTATGGTGTCCCCCTGATGTTCATTTTAGGTCCTCTTTTATGTCTTATATATGTCAATGACATGTCTGCAACCCTAAGCAATAAGCTTTTATTATATGCACAGGCACGAGTATCAGACTTAGGAAGAAAAAAACTGTGTTCATAAAAAACAAAAACAAAATGTAAATAATGACCCCCTTTAAAAATATACTATTAACTTAAAGTATATTTTTAAAGGGGGTCATTATTTACATTTTTTTTTTTTGACACTTTTAAGATGAACACAGGTTTTTTATCAATCTGGTCATATTTTTTCTTCCCAGGTCTGATACTCGTAGCTGTGATTATATGTTGATGACTCAGGTAACCTTGTATCTTGTAAAATAAATCTAAGGAAATTCTTTCTTATAGCACGAGTCTTATAAGATTGGTTAATTGACTATAAATTGTCTTTGCATCTTGGCAAGACAGAGTCTATTCTTTTTGGTTTAAGTTTCAACTTAAACTGGGCCTAGCCTCCAGGTAACATGTTATGGTACTGCTATAAAGTACACATCTTTTGTTAGCAAACCTGGATCAAATTCTTTTGGCGTCGCCCTTTGATGCTTTGCATCAAAGCTTTTCTTGTTTTCCCTTGACATACTTAAACAGAAAGGAACGTTCACGCGAGATATTTTAAAGACACAGGAAATACACAGGAAATACCGTCCCTATCACTGTACCTGCTGTACTGCCTTGTAAAGCATGCAGATTATCCAGTGTGCTCATTGGTTACAGGAACGTTTTTAGCTCGACTTTTCGAAGAATAGTTACATTGTACTCACACACGCTTTGGTTAATGTGGTATTTCAAAAACTGCCGCCGAAGTGATAAGGTATATAATGGGCAAGGATTCCACAACTCTGATTTGCCTTTATACAGAGTGATTCCCCTTTTCTATCAGTCCCGCATTGAGAATAGTCGAGCGCATTGCCTTACGACCAGCTTTTTGTTTTTAAGGGCTATGAAATTAGCCTTGAAATACTCAGAATTTGAAGTACAATGTATATTGATGTGTGAACAAAACAGGCAGAACAAACTTAAGTCTAACTTAATAATGTGTAAACACGTGAAACATGTACTATCTTTACTTACAGAGGCACTGCGATATCCTCTACAAACGATGTTTGTGCAATATTTTCATACATTTTTAGCTGGACATTTTTATTAGTCATAGCGGCGTTGCCGTTGCCATGGCCGCCTTGATTATATCTTTTAAAATTACTCGTGTATTGATTTCAAACTTTGCCACAATATATCCCTTGGGACAAGACCTTCAAGTAAACCAGACTAAATTTGACCTTCAGTCAAAGATGGAATTGACCTTTATGTTGAAATGTCTAAATTGTGCTTGAATTTTGCTATTAGTGTTGAATGGATTGTTTCCAAACTTAAACATCAATCTTATACGATAATTTTGTCGATACATAAAGTTTACCAGACAGACCTTGACCTTTACTCATAAATAAACTTTACCTTGAAAGTCGAATTATTGATTATTTTTGCTGTACTTTCGTTATTAATTAGTTATTTTGTTATTAAAATGAGTATATTTTTTTATCATATTACAAAATTTTTAAGGATAAGACTTCATTGTATATTAAACTCAAATTCATCTTGGCTTATTTATGACATTGACCTTGAAGGTTAAATTATTGAAGTTTGACTTATTTTTGCTATAACTGACTGTAACTTGGTAATTAATGAATAGTTTATCTGAATACTTGAACATAACAACCTTTTGGACAAGTTCTAATAAAAAGGTTGAACGACCTTGACTTTGGGCTTTTAATTATCTTGACCCTCAAGGTCAAATTATTGAATTTTTGTTAAAATGTTAAATTGTTATTTTTTGTCATTTTTGTAAGGATTTAATTTTTACTTAGACAAAACAAGACTTGCTACCATACATAATGCATGATTTGGATGTGACCTTGACTTTTAATTGACCTTGGCCATTAAGGTCAAACTAACAAAATTCGCTAGTTTTTTTTTTGTAACGTGTAATAACTTTATTATTTATATATGGATTCACTTCATATTTAGACACATCATCTTCTAGGTCAGGACCTGTATGTATATCAAACTCCAATTGACCTTGACTAATGCACATTGTATGACTTTGGTCTTGAAGGTAAAATTATAGATTTTCACTGTTTATGGTTATAATTGGCTGTAACTTGGATTATCGTCATACTTTGCAAAACAACCTTTTAAAAGGTTGAACTGACCTTGACCTTGTGCTTAAAATGACATTGACCGTCAAGGTCAAATAATTGAATTTTGGTTATGTTGTCATAATTTTGTTATTAATGTACGTATTTGATTTTTATACGCGAACAGACCAAACAAACATGTTGAATAATTTAGATATGACCTTGACCCTTACATTTCCTTGACTGTCAAATGGTTGTATTTTGCTTGTATGTTCTTAACTTTCTCTTTTATTTATGGGAATGATTCATACTTGGACAAAACAAGAAATGTGACTAGACTGACTTATTAAATTTTTTAAAAAAATCAATACCTTTTTAATTTTCTTTTTTATTTAAAGATTTGTTTAAACCTGTAGTTTATTTGCTAAAAAAGTTGAGCGTTGCTTCCGTCTAGGGATGGCTCTTGTAAAATCCAGTTTGAGCAAGTCAAGGTGAACAAAACAGCCTTTAATTGCAGCGTAAACATGCCATGCTTTTTATGCAGCGCACACCATGACCTGCTGAAAATAAATCAATCTACTTACTGTGAACGTAGCCTCATAAACTTTCTATCATTTCAATTTCTATCAAACGGAGGACGTAAACAAAATACAACGTGAGTTTGTGTTAAAGTTTTCTTTTCATTTATCTTCTGTTTTCAAAATAATGCAATTACTTTATTGAATTTGATATCATGCATGTTTTTGCCGAATTCCATGCACTCTTTTTATAAGCAAGTTGAAAGTGTCGTTCTGGGTATCTCGCTTTTTTAGATTGTCTGGAATTAGAGAAAGTTTGTGCCTGGCAGAAATATGAGGAAAACGGGTCGAGTTATTATAGACACTTTTAAAGAGTTATCATAATTTTATAGACCTGGTAATTAAACTTGTTATTAAAACAAAAAGAACTGCGTTATTTTCACACACAAACATTCACAACCTGTGACATTTATGATAAAATGGTAACATCTGCAAAAAAATAATTCTTTTCCTGCGTTTTATGTCCTGATGAGTATTAACATAAATTTTATGAACGATCAATGTTTTTCTATAGTTTCATAACAACACTAGATAAATAGGTACTGTTGTCAATCTTCGATAGAGCGAACGGTTCCGATTACAGACATTGTCTTAATGCAGCATGCCTCCAGATTCATGCTTATTTTCATGAACGAAAGTTTTGAAAAAGTATTTAAAAGTAAAACAAAGGAAGTAGTTTTATACATTGCAAACGGAACTCACAATCCACATAAATTACCAAACAGAGGTCAAAATATACATAAATACCTCTTACTCAGTTAATAACACAGTAGAATTATAGTGATTGATACTGCAAAATCAGTCATTTATCGCACATAGCATGCAAATAATTAGATTAATATTGAACTTTTTTACTTTTTTAAGTTCTTAATACATTTTTCTAAAGATTAAATTTGTTGAAATATTTGGGTTCATCTTGAGGTGAGCTGCTTTAATGCCCAAGGTTCGTGTGGATATAATTTGTATACATGAGCCGCATCATGACAAAACCAACATAGTGGGTTTGCGACCAGCATGGATCCAGATCAGCCTGCGTATCCGCACAGTCTGATCAGGATACATGTTGTTCGCTATCAGTTTCTCTACTTGTAATAGAGTTTGTAAGCGAACAGCATGGATTCTGATCAGACTGCGCAGGCTTGTCTGGAACCATGCTTGTCGCAAACGCATTACGTTGGTTTTGTCTTGTCGCGGCTCATATGTTCGTCTCTTCAATTCTGGACAAAATAGAAGTACATTTGTATCTATCTATATATTCTTTACGTGCAAAACGCTTATGTTTGATTTATTTTCCATTAAATAAATATTTGAATATTTCACAAGCATAAAGTTATAGGATAGGGTCGATCAGTCCTAGACGTGTACTTACATACAACAAGATAATTTATACATAGCTTGCCACAAGTCACAAATACCAGGACATTATAGTTGAAGCACTTTTTCTCTTATATAATTGTTTTTAAAAATTGATTAAAGATAAGAGCTATATATAAGCGGCTTTATTTACATCTGAAATACATTGTGCAATAAAAATGATATAGATGGAAAAAAAAAATCAAAAACAAATAGAGTGTTGAGCGAGGTTTTGATTGGTTAAAGCTTATTTATTTAAGGTCGATTGCGAAACAAGTTATTGCAACTTATATCAAATTATCAATCACTTTCGATTCGGCTTCCTGGAACCAACCAGTGCTGGTGTCATATATAGAAGCATGGTCGTGACCCGATGATTGCTCGAACACATGATCCCTGGGTTGAGAGGCACAAGCCTTTATCATAAGACCAATGCTCCCTTATAAGCGAGTTTTTAAAATGAGCCGTGTCACGACAAAACCAACATAATGCATTTGCGACCAGCATGGATCCAGTCCAGCCTGCGCATCCGCGCAGTCTGATCAGGATCCATGCTGTTCGCTATCAGTTTCTCTACTTGTAAAAGAGTTAAGCGAACAGCATGGATCCTGATCAGACTGCGCGGATGCGCAGGCTGGTCTGAATCCATGCTGGTCGCAAATGCATTATGTTGGTTTTGTCATGACACGGCTCAAATAACGCTTTCAAAAAAGATCATTAAATTTTTATGTACTAATAATAATTATAATATTTAGATGCGGATGATTATTTAATTTATATGTTTATTGTTACCCTACAAGAAACCTGCATCTTGTAACGTATTTTAAGCATATGTTAATTGTGCAACACACTCATTTAATGCAAACTGCCAACATTGTTTTTGAAGAATTTGTCTTCATCATTAAATGTCAACACATCTTTTGGGTTATCTTCAAAGGCAGAACACGGTTATCAGCAATATCCGTGAAAAGCCGGTAAATTTGTGACCTATAAATATTTGTGACCTCTAGAAATGCTTTCTATAAGTAATATGCAGTAAATTGGAATAAGATCAAAGTCTTAAGATGAATGCTATCTTTTAAACATATATCAATTAATAAAATATATCAACTTCAATGTTATCACGATTTACCTGAACAATAATTATATTGAGGTCTACAAATATTGGCAAAACTTATACCTGATAACAAAATCGATAATGTTGCAATTGGTTTAAAAAAAAATCGAACGATTGATAGATCCCTAATCTTACCTTTTATTTGAATATCTATAGATTTAACCACAAACATTGACATGTGCTCTTTTGTTGTGAAATTCTAATTGTATCCACTAATCTAATTATTAGAATTAGGCAGGTCAGGGATCTATGTATTTAATTGGTTCTGTAGCCGTCTTCGCCGGAAGTAAAACTAAATATATTGTGTTATTGTTATACTGTATTATGTACATAAAGTAAGTTCCCTATTCCTTAATCCTTTTCGAATAAGGAATAAGGAATCAGTTCCTTATTCCTTTTTCGAATAAGGAATTGGGAACTAGTTCCTGATTCCTTATTCAAATCTAAATAAGGAACAGCAGAATTAGTATTTATTTAAAACAAAATTATCAGAAAACTAGAACGATTCTTTCTTTCACAAATCTGTTGAAAAATGCATAAATCAATCATCAAAATCATAGAATAAAGCAACCGCATCGACCTATTTTTTAACAATATTCAAATCGAACAAGGATTTATAAACCCGTTCCTTATACCTCATTCAAATCATTGCATAAAGAATCTGCATAAATATTTTTGAAAAAAATGTTAAAGTCGGATAAGGAATAGGGAACCAACTTTATGTACATTATATAATTTGCTCTCCCTCATAAGGTAATTATTCCGGTGATGAGAGTAACTCACCGAACGGTGCAACGATTGCAGAGCTGCGCCCTGTTGAAGTCACAGTGGCTTACTTTTGTGATCCTTTCGACTTGTAAACCACAAAAACCACCATTATTTATCATTTTCTTGACGGATTCTTGACCCAGTGGTAACGCGTTAGGGAACAGTTTTGATCACGAAACAAGGGTTCCTGGTTTTTTAACGAACCAGAGTCTCCATTGAAACGAGAAACTGCTGTAATATGTATTAAACCGAAAAAATAGAAACAATTAATAATTCAACGCGCAAACCGCGACAATAAATAAAATGAAGCAACAAAAAAAATAATACACAAAGAAGCAATCACCTTTGCAAAATCAAGCCGTTTTGATCAAATAGGTGTTCAGTTGCAACAACATTTTTAAAGTCCAATGATTTACATAATTCTAACGTGCCTTGAATTTTGAAAAGGGAAAATCTTCACTTAAATCATGATATGAAAAGGATGTCAAGAGCTGTCTCTGATTCTATATTCTATGGATTTTATTGATTCAATTAAAGAAATTATATTTTGATTCAAAAGTATTCCATGTTTACATCGTCTGCACTGTTTTAGTTTTGATATATAGTTTTGATATAAACTAAGAATGTTTGTACAGTGGTATATCGACATGCATATCTTATAAAAGTCTAGTGTTATCTTATCAATAAATGTATAACTTATTTTTATACAGGTCATGGACAGTCACTATAATGTTTCATAAAGTCTGATTTGATTTCGTGTTATTGATCACACACGGAGTTTACAAAAAGTGTAACTGTGATTCTGACCTTTGACCAAATGCAGTAGGAACATCAACTGCCAAAGGGGTTTCAAAACTTAACCTTACTATTTATCAAGTGATTGATATGACAAAGATTTTACACATACAGCTGCTGTGACCTTGACCCTTGACCAATTTAAATAATAAATCGTATGACTAGCGCAATGTGTTAGCTAACTAGTATTGGCTAGACTAGCTTTTTAAGGTCAATGCTATCATGACCTTGACCTTTGACGTATTTACCTCATAATCAATAGGGGTCATTATCTAGTAATGAACAACATCCTCACCAAATTTAAGGAATGCTATCATAAGCCATTACTTGTGATTAGTTGAACAGGCATAAGGCCACTTTCAAGGCAATGACGACCTTGACCTAATGAGCTAAGAATCATTTTCTGGCCATGGACATTGCCACAGCCAAGTTACAGCCGTTTTTTTGCTCGGGGCATATAGCTGTTGGACCGTTCGTCCGACTGTCCGTTCGAGGTTTACCTAAATGGCAAGTTAGATTTTTCACCTGTACCAATGGCTTCATAATGTGCACACTTACTAATCAATACAAAGTGCATGTTCTGGGCAAGAAACACAACTACGACTTGCATTTTTACCAAGTTATTGCCCTTTTCAACACTTTCAAATAAATATGGTTAACCTAAACCGGCAAGTTGGACATACAATGTATCTTAAGTGTTATCTTCACTAATGGCTTCATAATTTCTTACTTATCAATATAAAGTACATTGTAAGATATTGCCATGTTATATAACTGTGACATCCATTTTTATAATTGATTTTCCTTTTAATCACTTGAAAATAGCGCCTTGTATGGTTAACTTATTTCGGCAAGTTGGATGTATTTTAAATTTCTCCTTATTACTTCATTTATTTAATGAAATCTGTCATATTTGGTAGGTAGATACCTATAATGGTCTTCTAATTTTTTGTGGAGTAAGGGGTCTCTATGTCAATGTCACTGGAGTAAAAATAAATTCAAGCAGTTTTGCTCCCACAGCCATTATGTTAAGTTGATGCCTTTCATATCTGTCATGTGGTTCTTCCTCCTTTTGGTTTAATAAGAAGTTATTTGGGTCAAGGTCACCAATGTCAAAAGTAGATTTTTACACTTTTACTTATGTATTTACCTTATTGTAATGGCAGATGTCTTTTATATTTGGTAGAAACATAAAATTGAGGAATTTTCCTTTGGATGGAGTGAGGGGTCAATTGAGTCAAGGTCACAAGTGATAAAAATTGATTTTTACCTTTTTGCTCAAACAGCCTTTATTAATTGACAGTTTTATTTAATGTTTGGTTAGAAGATAACTTGCAAAGTATTCTTTTTGATTGAGGTAGGGGTCAGTGGGTCAAGGTAACCATTGCTAAAAATAGATTTTTATAATTTTGCCCATACAGTCTTTATTTATTGACAGATGTATTTCCTGTTTGGTAGGAAAAAACCTTTAATTTGTTCACACATTTTATACAGCATTTGTAATTTTTTACCAATGTCTTATATTTTCTAGGAACATACCTAAGTTGGTCATTGAAATGACTTGTATGATATTCTTCCTTTCAACTGAGACTCAGTGGGTCAAGGTCATATTTGCCAATAATAGATATTTACACATTTGCAGGATATACAGCCTTTATATTTTGACTGATGTTTTTATATTTAGTAGGATGATAACTTGCGTGGTCTTCTTATGGATCAGTGGGTCAAGGTCACCAGTGCTCAAAATAGATTTTTACACTTTCGCACATATAGCCTTTTTATGGACAGATGTTTTTTATACTTGCACAGTATTCTTCCTTTCGATCGAGTAAGTGGTTAGTGGGTCAAGGGTGCCAATAATACTAGTAGATTTCTACACATTTGCCAAAACAGCATTATTTTTGACTGATGTTTTTTTTCTCCATATTTGAAAGGATAAATTGCATCCTTTCGATTGAGTTAGGAGTCAGTTGGATCAAGGCCAAGGGTGCCAAAAATAGATTTTTACACATTGGCTGACACAGCCTTTATTTAAAGACTGATGATTTTTCATATTTGGTGGAATGGTCCAGTGCTGGGAGTCACAAGGTCAATGTCGCTTGTGCTAACAATAGATTACTTACACTTTTCTATACAACCTTTGTATTTTTCTCACAAATGTCTCATATTTTCAAGGAACATACCTAAGTAAGTTGGTCCTTTAAGTTTGGTCACTGGGTTCAAGGTAAAGTCTTGCATTTACATGTATATATATTTGATAAATTTGAATATTTTTCAGCTTCTTCAGAAGTCATAGCAATGACTCGACAACTTATATTTTTTCACAATTACAAAACGCCAAGATTTTGTCAAGTTATATAACTTTTTGGACCATTTTTCTGTCCATAACTGAGTGAATGGGTAAACATTTTTTGAAATATTGTTACTAGCCGGGGGCATTTGTGTCTGTGTCTAACAAACGCGTTTACTGGTCGGTCATGGAAGTGATGACACATATTGGTACGGATGTACGGACCGAACCCGTCACAGTATTCATTCTTAAGTGAGAAAGGGTAGCCGGACATAAAAATATTGAAATAAACCGGAGGACTAAGTACTGTGTTTATATCATTTTGATGTGTATCAATATATTTTCAAAAACGCTGATCTGATTCAAACTCACATTACTTTAATTTTTGGCAAAATGTGAGTCTTTGCTTTTTTCACAAAGCACTATCTGCAGTCCTTTCATACATGTTACAATCTCCAATGGCCAGCATATTTTTATGTTATTGTTTATTATACATAGATAAGAATCCGTTAGACTGTGTAATGTCCAAATATAATGTATTAATTTATACACGAATGTGTAAACCGTTCGCATACATGTACTAATACATATGTATTTATGCCAGATCATGTACAGCGGAGGTGGCAGTAGAGGATATACCGGCTATACGGATAAAAATGTGTTGAACCATTACTTGACCTTAGACTTGCCAGATGATCATATCATGTGTGAATACATTTGGATAGATGGGACAGGGGAAGGAATACGGTCCAAGTGCAAAACGCTCGACTTTGAACCAACCAGCTTGGATGGTATGAACCTGCTTCACTGGTGTGCATGTACCTTAAAGTTTATTTGGCCTTTACAGCAATCTAACGTCTGACCTGAATTATTTATTTTTTTTAAAGAATTAGTTAAATTTTTTTTACTGTAGGGAATAGGGTTAACGCCATCCCACTTTAATAGTTTGTATCTTTTAATATTATGCTTCAAAATTTTTTTCCTTGGGGGTATATTTACGTTAATGCCCTGTCGGGGTTCATTTAGCTTTATGCCTTGCCAGGAATCATTTAGGTTTATGCCTTGCCGGGAATCATTTACGTTTATGCCTTGCCGGGAATCATTTAGGTTTATTCTTTGCTGGGAATCATTCAGGTTTATACCTTGCCGGGAATCATTTAGGTTTTTGCCTTGACGAGAAACTTTTAGGTTTATGCCTTGCCGGGAATCATTTAGGTTTATGCCTTGCCGGGAATCATTTACGTTTATGCCTTGCCGGGAATCATTTAGGTTTATTCTTTGCTGGGAATCATTCAGGTTTATGCCTTGCCGGGAATCATTTAGGTTTTTGCCTTGACGGGAAACTCATTTAGGTTTATGCCTTGCCGGGAATCATTTACGTTTATGCCTTGCCGGGTATCATTTTCGTTTATCGCTTTGCCGGAAATCATTTAGGATTTTGCCTTGCCGGGAATAATTTAGGTTTATGCCTTGCCGGGAATCATATGGGTTTATGCCTTCAGTTTTATGCCTTGTTGCAGGTAATTCAGTTTTATTTTTTCCCGGTGATCTTTTTAGTTTTGGGTCTTTGCATGGACAAACTTTTTTCCGTATGGCTGTAGTAGTCAAAAATATGTCAAATCAAATTTTTTTTTATCCGGGATTTTAACCTCGATACACCAACCGGATAAAAATTTTCGGTTTAACATATTCTACAAAAAAAAAATTTTAGACATATACGTAATAAATTTTGTTTGAATTATTAAAACATTTTTTTAAAAATATTTCAAAGGTTAAAATTTTTTTTTTTTTTTCCTACTTAAAATTAAAAAATTACAAGGGGTAATCATTAAGCATGAAAAATTGGGGGCATTTTCCCTTAATTTGAATATTTTTTTTCGGCAACAACGAAATTTTTTACTCATTTTCCATTAATCTGAAACTTTAAGGTATTAGATATCAAATTCACATGGTAGAACTATCTGTTTCCGAGATGTTATTGGGTGATCGACGAGGTGTTCCCTTTTTTCTACAAGCCGAAGCTTTCGTACAGAATAAATACACCATGTGAACTAGTAAACTAAATTTTCTAATATGGTGACATTGGCCTCTAAATAATTCTTATATTCTCAAACATCTCAGTCGGTAGAGCCGTTTTTTGTCTCATTGTAAAATTTGGCGCCTTAAGGGGAACTTTGACGTTTAAATTCCCAATTATTTTCTCTGTTCCCATTAGAAATTTAAGGACGAATTTAAATAAAGTGAGGAAGTCTCACGGGTCTGAACTGTTTACTAATTTGGGGAGTAAATTTTTCTCACCCTGTGACATTTGCAAAATACATTTAATAAAATAGTGAACATATAATGGTATAATGATTGTAGTTCCCATGGCGACGCTACATAATATTTCAAAAATAGTTAACATCCGGGCGATCTTTGGACTGCGTGTGTATAGCATAACAAAAAATTGGCACAATAAGCCGTACACCATATTACATTTATTGGCGACGCCGGTGAGCGGCGTCGTCTCTTATGGAATGCTTTTTATTTTTGCCTATGGAAGGAGCTGTTATTATTAGCAGTCAATGTCATGTTGTGTTAATTAGTTTTATTTTGATTCGTAAAAATCAAGTAAACAACTATGTTGTTATAATTGTATTTAATAACTTTATGTAAAAAGCATGTGCATTGTGAATTTTTTTTCACGAAATTGCAAGCTCAATTTAAACAGCTTGTCCCTTAGTTTTATTGACAATACTAAAACCCGTATTTCGAATATCGTTGTGGTCTACATTGATGCCGTATCCATTCATTCATTCATTTATATATTTTCAAAATTTTCTTACAAGAAGAAAGTTCACCTGCAAATGAGTATTATGATACGTAATGAACTGCTGTAAACGATTATCCTATTATTTTATTCATATTACGTTTATCTGTTGTACAGAATGGTTGTTTTTTACAAAGTGTACCAGTATCCGGATGTTGAAAGCTATCCGATTTTACTGCAATTACTGCTTATGACCATTTTTTTATGAATACTTCACCATTAATTTGCATGGCTTAATAAAACTGAGCCTGCAACATTTCATAATTTTGCTGTTTTTATGGTGTTCTTTTGGGTTTCATGTTTTCTCCTATTTTAAGGGGAAGTAACTTATGTTTACTAAATTATTTGTTCTTTTCCGTCTATCTTAGGTATTACTTACTATTTTTTATTGTATAAAATGTACCAGTTGTAAGGTCATCAAAAGCATAGAGGCCTGATAAGTGAATATTGATAGATTTTTTTTACTGGCTTTAAGTGAATATTGATAGATTTTTTACTGGCTTTATATACCTAAGACCAGGATTTTTTCTACATGTAGTTTATTCAGTTAGTACATACCTACAGATATTCTGCTAGAGGAATCTTCTAATCAATATGTGAAACTAATTATTATTTTCTATGTGTTTGTATATAAATTGTTAATAAAATAACCTTTGGTGAAAATGAAAGGTAGACTATTAAAGCTATATACATATAGGTGCTCATTTTAAACACTTGATATATATGCATTTAGTTATATAGTAAAGTCTAATGGAAGGTTAAAAAGAGGGATTCAATGTTTAGACACTCACACAACTCAATCTTTATTACATGATATAGACTATTTGAGATTTATTTTCACTTTTATACTATCAATATAGTGGGGGAAATATGTTGTGGTTTAGAACTGTTTCATCATTAAAGAGAAAATGTGAAGCCGGCCGTATAGCTCAGTTGGTCTTCTGAAAGTCATGGGTTCGAGTCATGGTCAGGCAGTTTCAGTCAGGTTTTAGAAGTGGCTTTACAACTGACACATGTTTGATTCATTTAAAAGATTGCATTAAATTTGAAATTAACAAAGGCAGTATTGCATGATACTTTTAGATCTACAAAGGGCATTTGATACAGTTGATCACACTAAACTGCACATGAAGAAGTTCTTTTTCTTCTTCTTCATGAAATTTCAAGCATTTGGCATATGTAAGGACATCCTTACATGGTTTAACTCTTATCTCTGATAGACAGCAGCTTGTAGATGTGGATGGTACTCATTCTACTACTGCTCTGAGTACCTATGGTGTCCCCCTGAGGTTCATTTTAGGTCCTCTTTTATGTCTAATATATGTCAATGACATGTCTGCAACCCAACCCTAAGTAATAAGCTTTTATTATATGCACAGGCACAAGTGTCAGACCTGGGAGAAGAAATATGACCAGATTGATAAAAAAAACTGTGTTCATCTTAAAAGTGTCAAAAACCAAAAAAAAAAAAAATGTAAATAGTGACCCTCTTTTAATTTATACTATAAACTTACAGTATATTTTTAAAGGGGGTCATTATTTACATTTTTGGGGGGATTTTCACACTTTTTAAAATGAACATAGTTTCTTTTTATCAATCTGGTCATATTTTTTCCCAGGTCCGATACTCGCGCCTGTGATTATATGCTGATGACTCAGGTATCCTTGTATCTGGAAAAATAAATCTGAAGAAATTCTTTCTTATAGCATGAGTAATATATAAGAATGGTTAATTGACTATAAATTGTCTTTGCATCTTGGCAAGACAGAGTCTATTCTTTTTGGTTTAAGTTTCAACTTAAACTGGGCCTAGCCTCCAGGTCACATGTAATGGTACTGCTATAAAGTACATATCTTTTGTTAAGTATTTAGGTGCAAATCTGGATCAAATTCTTTTGGCGTCGCCCTTTGATGCTTTGCATCAATACTTTTCTTGTGAATGGCTGGGACATTTTCTGGCATTTACAAGGTCGACAACGCGCAGATAAATTGACTTGCAAACCCATTTGCAAAATTCATAGGATCTTGACCTCTGCTTTACTCCTATAAATGACCTGAATTAAACCATGATTTAATAAGATCGTTGATATGACATATGTCGCCAGCTCATGTACATATAAAATGTCATTTGCATAGAAGTTGTTATTTGTATATACATTGTACAGTTTAAACTGGTTAAAGTCACTCGCCTCCAAATGATAGAAGTAAAATTTCAAGTTAATGTTAAATACTGGAACTGGTCTAGTTAGGAACTAAACATTATTACTGAAAAATCAAGAAAGAATGTTGACAAAAGCGTCAATATATCGTATTTCTTCTTCGCATAGTCTGCTGCTTTGTAGTATATTTTGAACATGGTCACGTGTCACAACAGTGCAGTGGTTAGGTCAGGAACTGAACCATTTTGAAAAGTTATTTATAAATACTTTTTATACGCCTTTTGGAAAACGGGTCGTATTATAGTTTCCCTTGCGGGCGGGCGTTCGGGCGGCGTCGATAATTTTGTTCGGAGCATATCTCCTACACGCATTGAGGAATTTTATTGAAACTGAATAGAAATGTTCACCACTATGAGAAATTGTGTCGCTCACATGAACCAGGTCTTTGTACTAGGTCAAAGGTAAAGGTCACACTGAGAGGTCATTGAAAAATGCATGTCAGGAGCAAAACTTCTATATGCATAGAGGGATTTCAATATAACTTTGCACAGGTGTTTACCATTGTAATGAGGAGTGTCCCTAGCAAAATTTAGGTCATTGCGGCCAAGGTCAAGGTCACACATAGGGGTCAAAGTTCAGATAAAAATATTAAAATATGTTTTCGGACCAATTTAACATCATTAATTCACCGTGTATATCCAGTAACGCAGTGTTGAAACGCAGGAATTATGAATAATTAACGCAGAATTATGCAATTAAGTAGCTAAAACGAACATCGCGAGATATAAATGGACCAATTTTTTTTATTGCACACCAAGTTGGAAGAAATGAATTGGCGCATACGGTTGCTAAGACATTAACCTTTAAACACCATAAAATAATTCCATGAAAATGTTTATTTTTCAAGACCATTCGTGAAAATGACTACCTGACTAGCGTATTGATGGCGATTTTTAGTTTCGTTGATATCTTTAGATGCAATACGTGCATATTACTAAATGATTTTTTATATTCGGTGTACCTGAGGCATTTTCTAATCTACTCGTGTCATATTACACTTATTCTAAAATGAGACCATTTTACGAGGTAACGCCGAACTCTTGAACGAAACACTGAAGCAACGGCGGTTATCTTATTAAAAGTAGCTAATTCTTATTTTACCAGCTCCCTTCTTTTGTTATATGATACTAAGTCTTTAAATTTTATTTAGAATAAAATATTTTGGTTCGTTCTAATGAAACTTCATAGAAATTTTCACTACTATAAGAAACAGTGTCATGCACATAAACCAGGTCTCTAGGTCAAAGGTCAAGGTCACACTTAGCTACCATTGACGAACGCTTGTCTGGAGTAAAACTTCTACATGCGTAAAGTGTCGCGAGCAAAATTCAAGAACCTGTGGCCAAGGATAAGGTCACACATAGGGGTCAAAGTTCAGATAAAAATAAAAATGTGTTTTCGGACCATTTAGTCATCATTTATTGAGGGATTGAACACCATTGTGAAGCTAAGCATTGTGCACATAATCCAGGTCCTGCTTCCAAAGTCAAAGTCACACACAGAGGTCAAAGTTTGTGAACGGGCATCATTTAGTCATAATTTATTGCTGGACTGTAACACAAATAATAACTTTCATGTTTACAAGTGTGACACGTGTAATTTAGGTTAATATTTGCAAGGTCAAGGTCGCTAGAGATTATAAAATATCCAGATATTTTCCGGATATTGCCCAGAGCATATCTCCTATAAGAATATCTATAATGCCCAAAAGCTTTTGTGACGGGCATGTTTTGCGACGATGTTGCCCTTGTTTATGTTTAGTTGTAACTCAAAGAACCATTAACTAAGTGAGGAGTGGGAATAGAAGAAATATCATGTCTTGCAGCGATGACTATTCTGTGTATTAAGAGTATTTTAAATATTAAGAGTAGTGTTGCAGTCAACATCTAATTATACTTACCAAACACATACACAAAAAATGTTTTGTGTTGTCTTTATTTATTTATTTTTGTGTGTGTCAGATATATTTCTAAGCGAGGAGGTTTTATTATTATAAAAACTCATCTTAAAGTTTATAGAACTCAAACGAATTGATGTATATTATAATTTAAATTTGGAATTTGAAACATCCGACATGCTTAAGTATAACTCGCTCACACAGATCTTGTGTATTAAAAAGAGTGTTGTTGCCAACATCTAATTATACTTACCCAACACATACACAAAAATGTTGTTTTTTGTTGTTTTTATTTATTTATTTTTGTGTGTGTCAGATATATTTATAAGCGTTGAGATTGTGTTTTACTCGTTTTATTATTATAAAAACTCATCTTAAAGCTTATAGAACTCAAACGATTGATGTATTTTGTAACTTAAATTTGGAATTTGTAACATCCGATATGCTTAAGTATTACTCGGCCACTAAGAGCTTTTATGCTGTGAGAAATTTATTTAATGTTTAAATGTTCTATACATTCTATTTGTGTTTTATTTTTCAGACTATCCAATATGGAACTACGATGGTTCGAGTACATATCAAGCTGAAGGCTCGAACTCTGACATGTACCTTCATCCGTGCGCTATCTTCAGCGACCCATTTAGACGCGGGAAAAATAAGCTCGTGCTCTGTGATGTCTATAAATACAACAAGGAACCTGCAGGTATAGTATTTCCTTCTATACATCCACCATCACAACCATCATCTTCATTATTATTATCATCATTATCATTATTTTCACCATCTTTATCACCATCATCACTATCATCATTTTACCACCATCATCATCATTGTCATCATCACCATTATCATTATTTTCACCATCTTTATCACCATCATCATTATCATCATTTTACCACCATCATCATGATTATTATTATCACCATTATCATTATTTTCATCAGCATCTTTATCACCATCATCACTATCATCATTTTACCACCATCATCATTATTATCATCATCATCATTGTTCTTATCATCATCATTATTATCATCAGTATCATTATTTTATCATCATCGACCAAAACAACAACATTGAATCTTTATATATCTTTGCTGTCTTGCAATCAAATTTAACATTTATGTTGTATTATTAAAACATTGTATTTCAAGATTCAAACAAACGAAAAAGTTGCGCAAAAGTCATGGAAGCGGCAAAGGACTCTCACCCTTGGTTTGGCATTGAACAAGAGTATACACTTCTGGATTTTGACGGTTACCCATTTGGCTGGCCAAAGAATGGCTTCCCTGGACCACAAGGTATTGTCATAGTTTATTTATATAACATAGATAAATACAGAATCCTTAAAGAAAGCCCAACACGGCAAAATTGAAAATGTTGCAGGCTCGGTTTGATTGAGCCTGTTCATGGACGGTACTGGAAAGTGCAAGTTACCGTCCACGCCCCCTAGCACCGGCTTAAGCAGAATTCAACATTTTACATGAACTGGTAAAATTTAGAATTTTGAAACATCCGCAGATGTGTTCATATGGCGGTTATCATGGAACCTTCAATAAGACACGTTAGTGCCATTCCATGAAAAGCGGCATATGGTCCCCAAGTAAAAAAATGCGTGTGCCCTAAACGAGAAAACAATGGGCGAAACTAAATAAAATGGAATTTTGAAAGGGGATCTGAGGTTATGAAGCCTGCGTATCACAGATAAGACGTCAAAAGACAAATTTAAAAAGCAGGCAACATATCCTAAGGGTGATTCAACATTATTCAAGTAGGAATATTGGAACCACCCAACTAGAAAATGCCAAAAAGTTGAAACTAAAAATACCACAAGCACAACAATAATGTCGTGCTGAACGATATTCAAGGATCGAAAATATAACATCATTGATTAAATGTACGGGGAGACTTTTTACAGCCGCCACACGATTAATAAACATTTCTACAAAGGGATATTTGTCTTGTCCGATTTCTGGATTAAACGGTTCATATGTCATGTGTGATTGTCTTGTCCGACTTCTGGACTAAATGGTGAATGTTATGTCCGATTACTGAAAAAAGCAGGTGCGTGATTGTTGTTAATCGGTACGTTAGTTTTATGATAATGGGCTTAAATACACGATCTTATGAGATGACTTCTAATCCAGTTACCTCTCTGGCGTGGGTTCGATCCCCGGGAGATGCTTTAGTAGTTTAGCATTGAGGAAGGTTGTCTAGTACTGGTGTAACGGTTAGGGAACTACCCGACTTTACGACTGAAATACTGTTGGTAAAAGGCGTAAAATGAAACAAACAAACAAACAAAATTATGAGATGAGTTTAAAAATCGAAGATATTTACATGTCTTACATATTCTTAAACATTTTTAAAGGTGTTGATGAATTAGTTTTCACTAAGACTCCTAATTTGAGTTAAATGATATCTCTACGTAACTTCCATTCTGAAACAGTGTTACAATTACGAATATATATATACTAACAATATCAATATTTGCTAGGACCGTATTATTGTGGTGTTGGTGCTACGAGAGTTTATGGTCGAGACATTGTTGAAGCACACTACAGGGCAAGTCTACATGCCGGCGTTAAAATAGCCGGATGTAATGCTGAAGTCATGCCCGGTCAGGTACGTTTGTGTAATATTTTAAAAGAAATTCCCATTTCCGTAATTCAATTATAGTCAATTGTTATCATGGTATCCCAGCCCCGGGGTTGTGTTAAGACAGCAGAGAAAATAGCCAAGTATTCCATTGCACTGTTTGGTCATTGGGTTGCTCTTGTTTCGGTGCCAACATACTAGTTTTTCGGGAATATTGCCATCTTAACGTCCAAATATTTAAGACTACGTTTGTCCCCGGGAATGGGATCTGGTGTTACAATTGGCTGATGAAATAATTTACAAATATATGTATTGTACCGACATATGAAGAGTAGCATGGACATCGGAACCTTAGCCCCAATATAATAGATCTACATGACTTACCTTTACGTTAAGTCTTACAATTTTATGGATATTGATTTTAGCATTTTCAAATTAGATAATAATATTCCTTGAGGTATTGAAACGAGACATATAAATATAATTTATAATTTCTAACTTAGTCAAACTTCTCTTAATAAGAAAGGCATTTCCTTTTTTAAAGAAATTACTGTATTCAGAAGTCATCAAACATTTCACTTTTTACCTAGTGGGAGTACCAGGTTGGACCATGTGAGGGTATCTCAATCGGTGATCATCTGTGGGTTTCCCGTTATCTGTTGCACCGTGTGGCGGAGGATTTTGGTATAACTGCGACCCTTGATCCTAAACCCGTTCAGGGAGACTGGAACGGAGCCGGGGCTCACTGTAATTTCAGTACAAGTGCGATGAGAGAAAAAGGCGGACTGAAGTGAGTTTTTCCTGTTTGATCCGTTGCTTTTCCATTTTTTCATTTTGTTATCTAAAGCAAGTTATTCCAATTTGATACTATAAATGCATCTTGACAGATGATACACATGCTTCTAAAAACAGATATTTGCATGTCTCTAAATATACACATTTTGGAATATAAAGTTAAAATTACTTTATGTCCAATTAGGGTATATAGTGAAAGATTGATATCAGTTTTTAATTGGATTCACATAAATGAAAAACTAGAACTGCCACTGTCATGGCGTGAATACCCCCGCATACCACTTTGTCAGAATCAACAGTGGCCATTTAGAACTAAGGACAACCTCCCTGCCAAATCTTACCAAGCCAGTGCATTGCTAAGTTATGTATTCTACATGCGTCAAATGTGAAAATGTCAAAATCAATACACTGCAGACAGGCATTTTTAAGCATTTGAGCAGACAAGGTTATTATAGTAAAAATCCCTGTGACTTGACCTCTGACACAGTCACTTTAAATCAATAGGGGTCAGGGTCGTCATTTAGCCATAAACAATCTAAATACGAAATATGAAGATTGTTGACCAAAGCTTTCTTAAGCAATTGAGCCGAAAAGCAAAGCTTTTATAGTCAAGGCCCCTGTGACCTTAACCTTTGACCCAGTGACCTCAAAATCAACTTGGGTCACCTAATGGGTAAGGATAAACGTCCATGCAAAATATGAAGACTGTGGTTCAAAAGAATCTTAAGTTATTGGGCGGACAAGCTTTTTAAAGTCAATGCCATGTGACCTTGACCTTTGACCCAGAGGCTTAAAATCAATAGGGGTCATCTATTAACCATGACTAACCTCCATGCTAAATATGAAGAATGTGGGTCAAATGAGTCTAAAGTTATTTGGCGGACAAGCTTTTTCTAGTTAAGTCCCCTGTGACCTTGACCTTTGACCTGGTGACCTCAAAATCAATAGGGGTCAATTTACTTATTATGACTAACCTCATGCCAAATATGAAGACTGTGGGTCAAAGGAATCTTAAGTTATTGGGCGGACAAACTTTTTTATTTTTAGTCCAGGCCTCGGTGACCTTGACCTTTGACCTGGTGACATAAAAATCAAAAGGAATCATCTACTAATCATGACCAATCTAAATACCAAATGTGAAAACTGTGGGTCAAAGGAATCTTAAGTTATTGGGCGTACAAGCTTTTATTAGTCAAGGCCCATGTGACCTTGACCTTTAAGCTGGTGATATCAAAATCAATAGGGGTCATTTGCTAATCATGACTAACCTTCATGCCAAATATGAAGACTGTGTGTCAAAGGAATCTTAAGTTATTGGGTGGACAAGCTTTTTTAAGTCAAGGCCCTGTGACCTTGCCTTTGACCCAGTGACCTCAAAATCAATAGGGGTCATTTACTAATCATGACTAACCTTTATGCCAAATATGAAGACTGTGGGTCAAAGGAATCTTAAGTTATTGGGCAGACATTTTTTTAGTCCAGGCCCGGTGACCTTGACCTTTGACCTGGTGACCTCAAAATCAATAGGGATCATCTTCTAATCAAGACCAATCTAAATATAAAATCTGAAGACTGTGGGTCAAAGGAATCTTAAGTTATTTGGCGGACAAGCTTTTTAAGTCAAGGCCCTTGTGACCTTGACCTTTGACCTGGTGATATCAAAGTCAATAGGGATCATCTACTTATCATGACCAATCTAAATATGAAGATTGTGGGTCAGAGGAATTTTAAGTTATTGGGCGGATAAGAAAAAACCGACGGACGGCCGCACGGGGAGACGTCCGGACGACCGGACGGCCTGATGGACAAACTGATTCCAGTATACCTACCCCACTTACATCTTCGTTGTGCGGGGGTAATAACGTCGTAAATTTCTGTAACTATCCTTAGCAATTTGCCAGTAACGTTCAGTTCATAAAAGACATTTTTAAACTGTTGATTAATCACCATTATAACTGTCAATCTTTTGAAATACATAGTCAAATCAGCTCAACTTGACAATGAAAGAATAAGCATAATGTCACAATTTACTGTGAACAAGGAGGGGATATATTGTCATTCACTATTTATTGGAGAATATGTGTAAGCAGCCGGACAGCTCAGTAGATAGAGCCGCGGAACGGTATTCCGAGGGTCTTTGGTTCGAGTTCCTACTATATGTTGTGTCTATTCACAGACATATTGAGGGGGATAATCAAATGATATATGTTTTGTCTATTTACATACATATTAAGGGTATAATCAAATGATATATGTTTTGTCTATTTACAGACATATTGCGGGGGGTAATCAAATGATATATGTTTTGTCTATTTACAGACATATTAAGGGTATAATCAAATGATATATGTTTTGTCTATTTACAGACATATTGCGGGGGAGGTAATCAAATGATATTTGCTATGTCTTTTTACAGACATATTGAGGGGTATAATCAAATGATATATGTTATGTCTGTTTACAAACATATTGAACATATTGAGGGGGATTATCGAATGATATATGTTTTGTCTGTTTACAGACATATGTATGGGGGATAATAAAACAATATATGTTATGTCTGTTTACAGACATATTGAGGGGGGTAATCAAATGATATATGTTTTGTCTATTTACAGACACATTGAGGGGGGTTAATCAAATAACAAATGTTATGTCTATTTACAGACACATTCAGGGGGAATAATCAAATGATATATGTTTTGTCTATTTACAGACATATTGAGGGGGATAATCAAATGATATATGTTTAGTCTATTTACAGACACATTGAGAGGGATAATCAAATGACAAATGTTATGTCTATTTACAGACACATTGAGGGGATAATCAAATGATGTATGTTATGTCTGTTTACAGACACATTGAGGGGGGATAATCAAATGATATATGTAATGTCTGTTTACAGACATATTGAGGGGGATAATCAAATGATATATGTAATGTCTGTTTACAGACATATTGAGGGGGATAATCAAATGATATATGTTCTGCCTATTTACAGACATATTGAAGGGGGATAATCAAATGATATATGTTATGTCTATTTATTGACATATTAGGGAATAACAAAATTATATATTTTATGTCTATTTACAGACATCTTGAAGGGGAATAATCAAATGATATATGTTATGTCTATTTATAGACATATTAGGGGATAATCAAATGATATATATTATGTCTATTTACAGACATATTGAAGGGGATAATCAAATGATATATGTTATGTCTATTTACAGACATATTGAGGGGGATAATCAAATGATATATGTTATGTCTATTTACAGACATATTGAGGGGGATAGTCAAATGATATATCTCATGTCTTTTTACAGACTTATTGAGGGGGATAAACAAATAATATGTTTTATGTCTATTTACAGTAATATTGAGGGGGATAATCAAATGATATATGTTATGTCTATTTATAGACATATTTGGGGAAAAATTTAAATGATATATATTATGTCTATTTACAGACATATTGAAGGGGATAATCAAATGTTATATGTTTTGTCCATTTACAAACATATTGAGGATGATATATTTTTATGTCTATTTACAGACATATAGAGACAGCTATTGAAAAGTTATCTAAACATCACAGTAAACACATTCATGCCTACGATCCCCACGAGGGCAAAGATAACGAAAGACGTCTCACGGGACTTCACGAGACTTCAGATATTCATGATTTTTCGGCCGGTATAGCAAACCGCGGTGCTAGTATCAGAATCCCCCGCCAGGTGGCAGAAATTGGATACGGTTATCTGGAGGATAGACGCCCGTCCTCTAACTGTGACCCATATTCTGTAGCAGAAGTCATCGTGCAGACGACAGTTCTTGACGAATAAACAATATTGACATGTACACTTTCTGTTGAGAGGAAAACATTTTTGTGATGACGACAGTTTATAAAACTGTTTTATTTTACAGATATTCTTGTCTGCGGTATTGTAACAAAAAAAACGTTTGTGCATATGACGCATTACCTCTCTATATTATATGAACAGCTAGAAACTTTCAGTATATATAAAACTGTAGGTTATGGATTTTGTTACTATGCATACATTTTCTATATCTGCGTGTGTTACTGGTTTGAGAGAAATGTAATAAAAATAATCAAAAAGGTCAATTGGATTTTAAAAGGCATTTTATAAACAACCCTAAGTCATACAAAAATACAGACAAAATAGCATATAAATCCTTATAAGAACCTGACATCAACCGTTCTCCCCCTTTCACACTCCAGCACGTCAAAAACAGAATGATGTAAATCAAAGAGCCGCAAGCTCTGTGGTATTTTCTGATTTTTGCAATCTAAATAGTACTGTATATCTGTATGTATTTTCCTTTATTATACTATAGTTCATCTTACAGGGCCCCGAGTTGCAGCGACTGTGTTTAGATTTTTTACTATAACATTTTGATTTTGATGCAGTCAAAAGAAGCATTTGCTTCGTTCTAATAATTTGACAGACGCATGCCTAGAAAAATTGAAAATTTAATTGACTACTTTAACCCGTTTAAATTTGTTTTCTTCATTTCGCAAAATTATTTTTGATGGAATGTAAAATGTTATGATGGGGATGGGACAAAGGGTGATAAGTTTATGATCTATATAGGTCAAGGTCACATGCTGTACTTTTTTTTATTATAATTAAGTTTTGACGTTTACAGGTATTTCACAAGAAATGATTTATAAATAATTATGTAATATAACATTATTGAAAGCAAAGGTTGGAAGGGGTTACTTGGGGTTAATAACATGAACTCGTTTTGACATCTACTTGTTTCAATTAAATGGACCCCAGGTGCTTTAGATAGACAATATTTGTTCTACTATGTCCGTCTGTAAGTCCGCATGCATGTCGTCCTTATGATTTACAAATTGCTTTTCTGCTTATTTTGCTTACCTGAGAGATTACTCATTTATTCTGTTATTTTCAAATTATCACCTTGACATTGCACGTGGTAATGTCACTTTGCAATGCTAAACATAACTTATGATGTTCCATATCCAGCTCGGAGCGGATGACGGGACGGAAAGCCAGACAAACGCCCAGATGGATTCTACTTTTTTAATTTGCCCGTCTATTAGTGATTGTAAGATTTATATTAGACGGGTAAATAAGTGTTATACTAGTATTGGACGGATAAAATGATAAAAACCCAGATTCAATGCTATGAAGTCTTAAACTAGTTAAAGTTACGCTGGCTGCAATTTCGTAAAACGAAAGAAACGAAATGTGGAAAATACCCATGTCTGATATATTATGTAACACGTATTTGTCACGCAGGAAGTCGTATTCGTTACATCATCACACAGTAAAGTAATGCATGTTTAAAATAAGTGCATGAAGGTCACCTATATAAGTTTTAAAGTTGCGTTCTACTTAATGGTCTAATAATCGTACCATCTTTATTTCACGCCAATTAGTACGTATGTATATAATTTCAGATTATTCAATTCACCAGGTTTTGTTTGTTTTTCATTGTTAATCCATGTAAATGCACGATCAGGTGTTTTATAAGGTTTAAATTACGCAAAATATTTGGGTATTGTATTTACGTTTGCCAACAAAAAATTGAAAAAATACAATGCAAATAAAACAACAAAAGGCCTTAATACAATGAAATACCAACATTATTTATTGCAATTTGATCCTGCAAGCTGCACTAATGTTATACTGCACACTACATTTATGCCGTGTACTTGTTTCCCCTTAAGTTCAATGAACTTGTCGGTGTTTTGCCCGAAAAATGTGCAGTTAAGTTGATTCACACCGATTTTTTGTTAAAAAGTTTAACTTAAATTGCACATAGATTTATGTCAAAATCTTTTTAACTGTATCACATTTTATGTCATTCGTACAGAACGGTAAAATCAACAAGGACAATAGTACTTTACTTTGCTTGATGGTGCGTTTATATTTGAAATATGCCAGGATTTGTATGAATGGTAAAATGGGATAACTGTTCTGTCAGTGGACCTCTCCTTTACCAGAAATTTAAAACAGTATCGCTTCTTTAAGTAACGGTGTTCCGTTCTACAGTGTTTCGTTCAGACAATCGTGAATAGCTAGCGATACACGATGGTTCGATGATAAACGATGGTGAAATCGCAATAATGCCATGGTATGAATATGAAAATGCGATATAATATCGCGATGCAGTACCGCGTTTGATGATGCCGTTTTACAATGTTGAAATGATAATCATGATGACAAGTGTAAAATCACCATAGTAGAATGACTGTGTCATCGCATCATGGTTCTAAATGTGTTCATCATGGTTAATAATGTGTTCATCATGGTTCATTATGTGTACATCATGGTTAATAATGTGTTCATCATTGTTCTAAAATTGTTCATCATGGTTCTTTAAAATGAACAGATCATTGTTCTTAATGTGTTCATCATGGTTCATAATGTGTACATCATGGTTCATAATGTATTCATCATGGTTCATAATGTGTTTATCATGGTTATTAATGTGTTCATTATGGTTCTTAATGTGTTCATCATGGCTCATAATGTATTCATCATGATTCTTAATGTGTTCATCATTGTTCATTATGTGTTCGTCAAGGTGCATTATGTGTTCATTATTGTTCTTTATGTGTACGTCATGGTTCTTTATCTGTTAATAATGGTTCTTTATGTGTTCATCATGGTTCGTAATGTGTTCATCATGATTCTTAATATGTTTATCATGGTTCATAATGTGTTCATCATGGTTCTTTATGTGTTCATCATGCTTCATAATGTGTTCATCATGGTTCTTTATGTGTTCGTCATGGTTCTTTATGTGTCCATCAAGGTTCATATTGTGTTCCATGAACCATAAACAAAGTTACGAGGTCCCGTACCAATAACTGAATCTTAATCGAAAAACGAAAAATTAAGAGAAAGTGACGGTACAGTCTTTGTGTTCATACTTTATAAATGACTATCAATAGACGAATGTCATAAGCATTATTCCTAAATAAATCAATGATCTTAATTCATCATGGTTCTAATTTATGTTCTTTCTTTGGTTCGTAATATTTTTTATTCGGGGTTCAAAAATTTGTGTCATAAGGGGTTTTTTTATATTTTTTTCTTTCAGGGTTTTTCATTCTTTGTTTTCATCATGATTTCATTTTTGGTTTTTCTCTTTTTTTCATAAGTTTTCTGGGGTTTTCGTATTTTTTTTTCTCATTGTTTCAAAAATTGTTAATGGGGCCCATTGTTTTTTTCGTTTTGTCGAAACCTTTCTTTCCTTTTTTTTTTACCTTGGCCCATTTTTTAGGGGGATTTTTTTAAACCATTACAGGAATACCCGGGGTTTTTTGAAACAAAAAAAGTTATAAAAATTGGTTTTAAAGGTGTGAGGGGAATAAGTAGGTCACGGAGCAAAAGAATTTTTTAAAATTTATTTTTCTAAAACCCCCTTTTTTTTCTCGGGGAAACTGCAAGGGCCCAAAAAAGCAAAAGGATTTTTGGGTTAAAAGTTTTTAAACCTTGGGGAAACCTCTTAAATTTTAAAAAAATCATCCCTTTTTGGGTTTGGGAACGGGGGGACCCGTTGGGGGAATTTCATTTTAAAAAATTCAAGTTTTTTTAAAGTAAAGATTTTTTTGGGAAAGATTAGAAAAAAATTCCTTAAAAATTTAGATTTTTTGGTTTAACTTGCCTGGTGGACCTTTTACAAAAAATGTTTTTAATTCAAAGCCCCTTGTTTTTGAAAAACATACCCCTTTGTTCAAAAATTTTTTTTTTAAATTTTGGAAAACTTGAAAGGGTTCCAGATTTTGGCATTTGAAACCCATTCCTTTAAAAAGGGGCCCCTTTAACAAAAAAAATTTTTTTAAAAAACCATGCCCTCCCCCTCTTGGGTTTAAATTTGTTTTTACCCTGTTTTTCACTTGGGTTTCTATCGATTTACATAAAAAGGGGGACCCCAACCGGGTACATTCGTAAAAACCTAAACCAGGGAACGGGAAAACGGGTTAAAGAAAAGGGGTTAATACGGGGTTCCCTTTCGTACAGATTTTAAACTAATTTAAATTTAAAAATTTTTGCGGGGTCCATAGGGAGTGATGACAAAAGGAAAAAGGGTTTAATGTTAAATTTTAAAATTTATGAAAAATCTCTTTTTATAAACTAAATAGGGGTTGGCGGGTTTTTAAAAATTAAAAAACTTCCCAAAAAAACCCCTTTGGGGAAAATGGTGATTTTTTAATTTTTCAATTTTTTTTGCATTTTTTTTTCGGTTTTTTTAAAAAAAAGGGGAATCCCCGGGGAAAAAAGGAATTTAACTTTAGAAACAAGAAAAAAAGTAGCCAAACTTTAAATTCTTTTTTCATTTATTTTTTATTTTACATTTTAAATTTTTAAACCTTTAAATTTTAATATTTAAATTTTCTGAAAAAAATAAGGACGAAAAACTTAAAAAGGGACAATTTTTTTTAACGCCCCTTAATAAAACTAAACGGCAGGGGGGGCCCATAACAATATTCCATCTTTTTCCCAAAGGGGGGAAAAACTACTTTGGGCTTTAGGTATCTAATTTTTTTGGGAATGGGGGTTCATTTTTGTTTTCTTTTAAAAATTTAAAAAGGTTTTTTAAAAAAGGCGGGGAATTTTTTTAAAAATGTTTTGGGTAACTAGGTTTTTTTAAAAGGGGGCCGGGAAGGGGAAAACAAAAAATTAGGGCCGGGGGACAAGGGGATAAAAATTTTTTTGTTTAAAAGGGATTTAAATCAATTTTTTCAAAATTTTACATAAACAAAAAAATTTTAAAAAATTTTTTTAATATTTTCAAAGGGGGTTTTTTATACTTTTCTTTAATTAAAGGGGGCTTTTTTAAATTTTGGGATTTTATTTGTTTTGTAAAAATATACGGGGTTTTAAAAAATACGGGTTAAAATTTGGGGAAAACCGGGAAAACTTTAAAAAAAACTCAAAGGGTTTTTAAATTAAAAAAAAAATTTGTTAAACCCTTTTCCCGGAGGGGTTGGAAAAAAACAAAATAAAAAAAAGGGTTGAGCTTTTTCCTCTATTGTTATTCGGGAAACCTCTTTTTTTGGGGGACTTGGGGCCTTTTGGTTTCCCATCATGATTTTCCCCCTTTTAAATGTTTTTTTTGGGGCCCCCTTTTTTTTTATTAACCTTTTGGTTAGGGGGACTTTTAAGTATTTTTAAAGTTTTATAATTTACAGGGTTTTAACGCCCCCGGGCCGGCCCGGGGAACCCAAATTTTAAGTTCACCTTGTTGATAAACAAAAATCACCGGGATTTTTGTTTTATTGAGGATTTTAGGAAAATACATTTCAGCCATTAATTTCAAAATTACAATGTCTTAAGCTTAAATATTTGGCATTTGACATGTCCTGGTGGATCTCATCATAAGTTCATAATATTGAATGTAGAAATCTAATGAAACTTTCATTCATCCATTGACATATTAACGCCCACAATATAGTTACAGATAATAACTATTCTGTCATAATCATTTCCCGCCTTTTATTCTCGACATTACGTTATATGGTTAATGCACCAGATAATTTCATCAGAATCAACATTACCTTACATCCTAGGCCCTCCATCATACCAAATGCAATGTCACCATCAAAAATCTACTCATTTTGACATAGTGTTGCCAATCTGAAACTAAGGTATAGACACCACCTATGTCCTACTAAAATTCATAGAAGTAAGACCTTATCACATCAAGTCATACTACTGTTGTCTATTTCATGCGATGTTGAACGGAACCCTGGCCCGGATTATCCTTGTGGAAGCTGTGGGTCTGAGGTCAAAGATTCTGACCATGCCGTTGAATGTGATAATTGCTGTATGTGGTTTCACATACAATGCCAAGGATTGAACAGCACATGGTACCAAGATCTAACCAATAGCAGTACATCCTTTGCATGGGCATGTACAATATGTGTTGAATCAAATCTTTCGAATATTTCAAGCATCCTCTTAATTTCATCACATAAGAGCTTCTCACCGCTAGAAGATGAAAATACAGAAACACCTAGCTCTATAAATCTCAAAAACTCAAAACAAAAACAAATTGATTATGTATGCAAACTGAAAATTCTATGCATAAAGTGCCAGCCAATAGTCAACGAAAACATGAATTACAAATTTTATTAATAGATTAAAACACAGATATAGTTACAGCCACAGAATCATGGCTAAATAAAGAACATTATAACAATGAAATATTTCCACCTGAACTCGGCTACACAGTTTTTCGTCGTGACAGACCCAAAGGTAAGGGCGGTGGACTGTTTATTCGTGTTATAACAACCTCCTACCAAGTGAACAACCAACATATGATAAACAAGGTCAACAAGGAAAGGCGGCGTTCAATGAACGCAACCCCCCACACGACCCAGCAACAAGAACCAGTGGCAAGGAGCCCAGGCGGACCCAACAAAAACAGGACACGGCACGGACAGGTTAATCACTAAAATATGATTTTGTTAACCAAAACTTAACACCGATTGTGAAATAATTAGGATAAAAATAAAGGTTCTAAGTCACTCTTTCTGGCATCTTATTACAAACCACACGAACTCATGGAATGGCACTACTGTGTCACATTGAAGGTTCCATTTTGTTGTGTTGAACTTTCTTTAGGGATTCTGTTTGCCTCTATTTTGATATGAATAGCATTTTAGAATTTGAAAAGTCCCTTGAACTTGCAGTAATTTAAAAGGCACAAAGTTAATCCTTGGCGATTTTAACATCCCAAAATTAAATTGAGACTCATGTGTATGATAGATTCCTGAACATTATTGATAATCATAACCTTGTACAAATGGTCAATGAAAGTACACGAAATGACAGTATTCTTGATTTATTTCTCATTTCAAACAACACGCTTGTAAACAACGTTAAGGTCATACCTTGCATATCAGATCACGACATCCTATCCGCAAAAATAACTTTAGGCCTACCTTCCTCAAACAAAAGCCCTCGCACTTGCACCTTGTATAAAAAGCAAATTGGACTGAGTTGAAAACTTTCATTAAATCTCAACATCTGAAATACTTCAAAAAGTTGAATTTTTTTCTGTTGAAGACTTTTTGGCGCACTTCAAACACACACTTGAGGATGGCATATCAAAATTCATACCCACTTAAAGAATTACAGCTAAACCATCTTTGCCCTTGATAACAAATCCATAAAAAATGATGAAAGAGACCGGCTCTATAAAAATATTTAAAAAAACCAAATAACAAATAACAGCAAGAATTAAACAGTCATATGAGTCTACCTTAGAAAAATCCTGAACCTTGCAGAAACTACTACACAAAGTAAAGTCTGTATTGGCCGTAGACAGACAGTAGTTGTGGATAGTGACTGCTCATCTGAAGTTCTAGTTACCTCTGGAGTGCCCTAGGACTCAGTGCTAGGGCCCCTCTGTATCCTTCTATATATCAATAAGCTACCATCTTCTGTCCTTAAATCCCAAGTCAGATTGTTTTCAGACGACACTGTTGTATACCTAATCATCAATTCCTCCTCCGACCCTCCAACACTCTAACATGATCTAGACAATATGGTCCTGTGGAAGAAGCAGCAGGACATGGAGTTTAACCCTTTAAAGTGCCAAGTAATCCATATCACCAAAAACAAAACCATATACATGTATATGCTCAAATGCTAAAAATCTCGGACTAAATCTGTCTGCTGACCGTTACAATTTTTTTACTGAAAGTACAATGCCAAGAGAGCTGTTTGCATAAAAACCATTACTTTATGGCCCTATATAAATCATGCCCCTTGAGTAAAAAATGGTCCCACCTAGGGGTTGCTCAGTTTATATAGACTTGTACTGGAAAATACATTTACGCCTTCTTTTTGTATCAAGCTTGAATATTTGACATGTAGCATTATCAAGTGTTAAATTATAAAAGTATGCTCCTAGGGTCAAATATTACCCCACCCTTAGGGTCACCTAGTTAACATAGACTTGTATAGTAAAAAATGTTTTGAAAAATCTTCTTCTCTGAAAGTACTAGTCATTTTGGCATGAAGAATCACTTGTTGATCCTCTACAAAAGATACACTAATCATGGCCTGGCGTCAAAACTTTAGCATCGTCTAGTGGTTAACTCGTCAGACTAGCAATCATTGGATGGCAATCAGCGTGTGTTCATACACCATCACGGTCAGGTCGTTGATTTCATTGAGCAAGAAACTTTACAATCATGGTTCAGTAGTGGTTGGTTCCAGTAACATAGAAAACAGGACATCATGCATATTCTGACATGGCTGAAAACTGTATAGGCAGTTTAATTCCAGCACATTTACCAAGTAAGTGGTCAGCGATTTGATTCAATGTATGCTGTATATAAGTTACGACATGACGAGGAATCATTATGTTCAAATAAAATCTCTTTGTTCTGTTCAATAAAAATTGTTGGCAGATTTACACTGAAGTCACTCAAACTAATTGGACAAGGTGATTGTTTAAATCAATTTCCTTAGCATGATTACGGTGTTTAAAAAAGACTCGACTACCATATAGTCATTAAGAACAAAAAGAAGTCAACGTCATATATTTACATTTATATCTTTATTTTATATATTTTATAAAACATAATACTACTTGTTTTTATATATCTGTAAAATAAGGCACGTAAATACATAAGAATTACAATTTATATAAAGTCCTTATTGTAACTAGTGCAGACGACATAACAATATTTCATCCATCAATAGATCATATATGTTCGACAAACTTTGTATCTCTTCGTATCTGAATTTTATTGAATCGGTCAGCTCCGTTACATTTCGATAAAAACTTTTAAGCTTTCAAACGTTCCTGTAACTCAGTGTCTAGTGTTTGTAAAGGGCGGGAAGTAACGAATTATGCCGACAGCTGACGAACTAAGATGGATGAATTATTGATTAAATGACTTAATGATTGTCAATGATATACATATACTATAAACTGTAAATACTTAATAAATGAGTTATTTATACAGTATATTGAGGGTTTGCATGTTTTAGGATATATCTGTAAATATATACGAGCATAAGAATACTGTCATATTTGGGAACAGAAGACATGAAAACTATAATGTATTTGAGCCGTGTCACGACAAAACAAACATAATGGGATTGCGACCAGCATGGATCCAGATCAGCCTGCGCAGCCGCGCAGTCTGATCAGGATCCATGCTGTTCGCTTACAAACCTTTTAACAAGTAGGGAAACTGATAGCAAACATCGTGAATCAGACTGCGCGGTATATGTCGTACAATTTTAATCCTTAACCTGCTATCAAGTTCTGTAATGTATTTGTCTGGCTTTAAACTGGGAACAGTGTGTTTGAAGATTAATAAATTTCAAAAAAAAAATGAAAAAGCCCCTAATAATATCAAGCTCTATGTTCTTGGGGGAAAAAAACTAATCCTGGCATGGTTGAAGCATGTCAAGGGTTTACACAACTTGTAAAACTGCAAACTCCATAATAAATGTAATGTAAAACAAACACACAATTCAGGCAAAATTAAATGACAATCTAGTATGATATACACGGGTGATAAATGCAATAATATGACAATGTTACTACGGCATAATATTACGTAAATTCTAACGTAAATTCTAATTAATTCATACATTTGTCATCTATCGTTACTTTAAAAATAAACTCCATTCATTACATCTATAACTAAGATTGTGATGTCATGTAAAATATGAAAATGCTTATGAATTATTCTTTCATGCAAACTTTTTAAGTTGTAAATACATCTACACAACTTATGTCACGTGATTACTTCTACATTGTAACGATTGGTGATTGTCTATTCATGAACACAACAAGTAAATTGTTCAATTACAATAACAGTTAAAGTTGTTGTCACTTTTTGCGTTGTCACGGCAGTTTCGTTAGCTATATCATTTATCACGTGACTGTCCTCATGGTACAGATGGCGTTGGATAAAGTTAGTTGTCACTCAACATCCTCCTTTAAATACAGAACAAGTTCTTTTTTAACATTATGTTCGACCTCTACAAAACATTTTTTGTAATATCTTAGAGAATAATTTATTATGTTGTTTTATAGAAAGAACGTTTAAACCATTGCAAATATGTGCAATTGCAAACTACAAAAATATACTACATTAATTCTATATTAAATGACATAATTTTAAATGATACTTTTTTAACCAAATTGTAAGTTCTCATCGACACCTGATTTGAAAAAAACAAATATAACAAAACATTATAAACGTTGTAATAAACGTTGTGAAAGTAAAGTGAAACCATGACGATAAATACATAAGAGTTGGCTTAAACTAATATTGTGACAACTCACATTTTTGTATCGTTGCCGTCTTCGATAGTTTCGTCACCAGACTCATTATGTGGAAATCCCTGGGCCTCCACAATGAAGAATTCCCGATCATCAAACATCCTGTTGCCCTCAACATTGTCGAAACATGGCAGTCTTAGCAATAATCCTGTTTGCAATGTAAATATAAGTAAATGTTAAATTTCCTCCCTTTATCTGAAATTTGATGATCTACGGTATAAACTTTACTTGATATTTATTTCAAAAAACGCATAAAATTATCCTTCCATTGGGGTATATTTCAAGAATCTGTAAAAGAAATCTGTAAAAACTTTTCAAAGTATGTTTGTCTGAATAACCAATCGCTGAGTCGTATATAGCAAACTACATGTATGTTTTATCAATAACGATATATAAAGGTAAACGAAAGACATTTCAAATTAAGATAGGTAGCTAACTAGGAACTTTCCTAAGAACTTTCGTGTGTGGTCATTTCGGTATTGTGCACTAAAGATGATGTCAGATACAGTGCGTGTAATGATCACAGCAGGCCGATATTATATTGTACGACTATAATTGTGTCATTTAACCTACCTGTCACAGCCCCGCCAATAATGGCAACCACCAAAGTAATAACAAGTGCGAGCATCTGGTAGCCACCTTGTATACCACTGCTTCGTCCCGCTCCGGGTTCAATAACGGAAAATTCGGCCTGAGCTTCGGCAAATTCCGTTGTGTTCACCATTGGTACAGTCATAGGGAATATTTCGTACATACTGTAAATCAGAAAACCATTTTCCGAAATTGTATCTGAACTTCCGGCACATTTAATGAATTTCCCTGACTTATGTAGATCACTTCTTAGAGTTACGAAAATTTACGAAGATGAAAGATTTGAAAGTTTTTGTTAAGAATTTACATATTATTACCAATCAAGGGAAGGCATATGACAGAAATATTATAATTGAAGTCTTTCGAAGATAGAAGCAGACTGGTCTCCGTTTATCTACTCTGCATGTTATTGCTATGTTTTAAAATTAACTAAAATTTTGTCAGAGCATTATCTGCTTGAAGGGTTTCCTTTGTTAATTTTTGTAGCCTGGTCTTTGTGCATTAACATGTACACTATTCATATATAATATCAAGATAAAGTTCAATATAACTTCTACAAACCTTTCACCCCAGCTGTCAGTGTTGGCAATCGCTGCAAAAATGGCGCCAACAATTCCCGCCAAAATACCTGGCATCCCGTGTAGATTGTTAACACCGCACGTGTCATGGATCTTCAATTTACTGTCGAGGAAGGGCTTCAAAACAAAAATAGAAAGGACTTTTTAGATTACATCAAATTTCATTAACTTTCTTTTTTTCTCAAAACGTCACAGTATTTGTTATGAAACTTAAAAAATATCTAAACATCAAATTGTAGGACAAAATCTTAATTCTTCAGGCTTAGTCCTGAACTGTTCTTTCGAGAGCTGAAAACTACGCTGACCGCTGAAAATAACAACATATCTTCCTTTCTTACACCTTTTATAAGACTCAACAAACAAACAAACGAATAACGAACGAACGGACGAACAAACAAAAATAATAATCAAGAGGAATCCACTGTTTTGCTCTATCTTGTAAAATTGGTAAAAGATGCTTTTAGCAAATTGCAATTGTCGATATGCAATTAACATTACACATGCAATTAAAGATATATTATTCCCATCCTTGAATGAAAAAATAATTATCACAGAAACTTATTGAAATATATGAAACTCTTACTGAATATGTCTAATTTGAATAAAAGAACGATTAAACTAAGCTAAGCTACTATCCCTATAACAGGTAAAATAAAATTGGTATTTTTAAAAAAAATCACATATCTACTTAGTGTGAAGTGAAGACATGTATATTTTTTATTTACAAAAAGACTGTGTAGCAATTATCAGTATTTTTTAATATCAAATTTAAGCATAGTATATCTTTAAATTACCGCACTATCACCATATTTGATAAATTATATAACTTAGTCATTCCTGGCATTTATTTATATTGTATGCATGTCCGCATCAATTTTATAAGTTAAGCTTCGGAGTGCAGTTTACTTACAGTGATGTACTGGTACCCAACAACTGAGATAACTCCTGCAATACAGCCAATCAGCATAGCCGCCCAAGGTTGTAGCGGCATGTTCGCGCTGGTTCCCAACGCCACGCCCCCGGCCAGTGTTGCGTTTTGAACATGAACCTAAAACAAAACATTCTGCTACAATATATCTGTGATGGTTTCATCAATATCTTCGCCGTGTCTAGGTTAATGATAAAAATATTAGAAAGGTGTTAAAGAACAGTCAGATGCTCATAAATCCTTGAATTTATTTTCAGGCTCAAGTTTACGTTTTCACGAAGCGGCGCTGGTACTTCGTAACGTCCTTGGGATGGGGTGAGGTGCTATTTGTTACGGTGTCCTTATCGTGCCATTTAGAATGTCGTCCGTCGCGTCTAAGGGTAGACACACGACAATGCGAAGTGACATCGCGACAATGCGAAGCGACGCTCGACAACGCGAAGCGATATGCGACAATGCGAAGCGACGCTCGACAGTGTCAAACGATATGTCGCACTGTCGCCTAGAAATGTCGCGGTAAAAAAGGGCGACATTTAAGAAATGTCGCTTCGCGTTGTCGAGTGTCGCTTCGCATTGTCGAGCGTCGCTTCGCGTTGTCGCGATGTCACTTCGCGTTGTCGCGATGTCACTTCGCGTTGTCGCATTGTCACTTCGCATTGTCGAGTGTCGAGGTTGGTAGAAGTGCATACCACGACACTCGACAATGCGAAACGACAACGCGACAATGCGATACGACGCTCGACAATGCGAAGTGACACTCGACATCGCGAAGCGACATTTTTAAAATGTCGAGTAAATGTCGCGTTATTTTTATGATTTTTACACCGCGACGCTCAACATTGCGAAGCGACACTCGACAATGCGAAGCGACACTCGACAACGCGAAGCGATACTCGACAACGCGAAGCGACACTCGACAATGCGAAGCGACATTTGGAATAATATCGTATCGCATTGTCGTGCGTCTACCGGTGCTTGGTCAGAATTTACTAACTCACCGACAAACGGTGCGATCATGGAAGGGGTCGCACTAAACTGCTGACGAATTAGCTGACGATATAGATATATAGGAAAACTGCTGACCAGTTAAATAAAGAAGGATATCGGAAAATGCTGACCAGTTACACAAAGAAGGGAAACATTGAAGGTGTGAAGTTATATAAAACACGCCGTAGGGGGTAATAAAAAGATGGGAAATTACTTTTATTCTTTTAATTATATTTTTAATTTTTTGCATTTATATGACTATGTTTATAAACTAAATTAATATATACATTTAAAGTACCATAATATCATACATTTTAACACGGATTTACATTACTACATGTAATATAAATCCGTGATTTTAAAAGGATATATTAAACAGCTTTTTATACCTCTAAAGATATGCAAAAATTTGAATTAATGTTTTATAAAGAATTATGATGTTATGAGTTTTATCAAAATCTCTTGTTAGTGATATTTCAATAGAAAAATCTTGTAACGGAAAAAAAAATGTATTTTCAAAAGCAATAATTGCAATTTGAATTAATATTAAATAAGTCAGCAGTGTTTTAACTTAATTAAATGTCGACAAAATTTTATACAATATATTGAATTTCGTACATTATAAAATGAATTAAAATTTCACGACAAAATATATTTTTTTTCTATATTTCTAACTGGTCAGCAGTTTCCCTATATATCTAACTGGTCAGCAGATTCTACTACATGTGTATATGTTTAACTGGTCAGCATTTTCTCGCCTGAATGTAAGAGCGTTAAATTTGCTAACCATATAGAATAAGAAGAGTTTTACGGCTTAAATCAATTTGAAATAACATTAAATTGGTCAGCAGTGTTTTTACTTAATTAAATGTCGACATAATTTTATAAAATAAATTGAATTTGCATACATAATAAAAATGAATTACAATTTCACGGCAAAATATATTTTTCTCTATATATCTAACTGGTCAGCAGTTTCCCTATATACGAGGGCTGTCCGGAAAGTTCGTAGACAAGGCTATAAAATTATTTTAAGCAGACATATCAATATGATGATTTAATACTTTACTTAAGTATTTATCTGCTACATATTTCTAAATTAAAAAAACATGATAAAAGTAATATTCGCAAAGCGCCGATCACCATGGCAACATGATCAACGAACCACGGAGCACTTTGATTTCATGATGATAGCTACTCGAATAAAAAAGTTGCTAAAAAGATGTAATTTTAATGCAATCTCTTGTTTTAATTTTGTGACATCATAGGATAGTATAACATGATATTCAGTGTAAATTATGATGTCATACGTAAATAAACAGCTTGTTTACGGGCGATTATTCCGGAATGCCGTTAGGGCCATCGCCTATGAATGTGTTAATCTGAAACTCGATAGTCGATAGTACGATGGTGAAAACACGAAATCACGAAACTACGATGGTGAAAACACGATAGTACGATGATGAAAACGCGATAGTACGATGATGAAAATGCGATAGTACGATGATGAAAACACGACGGTACGATGTTGAAAACGCGATAGTACGATGATGAAAACACGACAGTACGATGATGAAAACGCGATAGTACGATGGTGAAAACGCGATAGTACGATGATGAAAACACGACAGTACGATGATGAAAACGCGAAATGACGAAACTACGATGGTGAAAACGCGACAATACGATGGTAAAAACACGATAGTTTATCGCGTTTTCATCATCGTAGTATCGTACTGTCGCGTTTTCATCATCGTACTTTCGCGTTTTCATCATCGTACTTTCGCGTTTTCACCATCGTAGTTTCGTGATTTCGCGTTTTCACCATCGTACTATCGACTATCGCGTTTCAGATCAACACATTCATAGGCAATGGCCCTAACGGCATTCCGTAGATTATAGGCAATGAAGGTGCGTACATTTTGTGTTGCAAAAATGACGTCAAATTAACGGACGGAGCAACGTAATGATATTTAACTTCATAGCAACGCTAATATGGCGCCAACTGAGATTATAATCTTTACCTTTAAAACAAAATTAACCATGAAATGTTAAAGGCAACTTGTGTTTAAATGAATAAATGTCAAACAAGATAAAGAAGCGGTGATGACAGGATATTGTATAAGAAACGCTCCAGAAGTGACCAAAAGTAGCATGGCTGAAATATCGTAGATTGCGTTACAACATTTTTTGAAAAAGGCAGACATCTTACACACAGTATGGGAACCAGTGAAATCTTTATTTTTAAATAATAATTTTAAATATGAAATGTATGAAGCAATAACATGTATTAAGTATACGTCAGACAGGTACCATGATGGCTTTTGAAATCGGAAGAAATTAAATAGTTGGTAAACATGAATTTAATTTGACGCCGTTGACGTTGTCAAAGTGCTCCATGATTATGTATATATGTTGTATGTAAATACTTTTAAAATACAAACGTTAGTCACAGTTCAGTAATTTTTGATATATGTGTTCGCTAGATATGTATTTTTATGCTGACAAAATTTGTACAGCGTATGTATTGTTTTACAATAAAAAAAATGAAGATGTATATGAACTTTCCGGACATCCCTCGTATCTAACTGGTCAGCAGATTCTACTATATATGTTTAACTGGTCAGCATTTTCTCGCCTGAATGTAAAGAGCGTTAAATTTGCTGACCATATAGAATAAGAGAGTTTTACGGCTTAAATCAATTTGAATTAATATTAAATTGGTCAGCAGTGTTTTTACTTAATTAAATGTCGACAAAATTTTATACAATATATTGAATTTCGTACATTATAAAATGAATTAAAATTTCACGACAAAATATATTTTTCTCTATATATCTAACTGGTCAGCAGTTTCCCTATATATCTAACTGGTCAGCAGATTCTACTGTATGTTTAACTGGTCAGCATTTTCTCGCCTGAATGTAAAGAGCGTTAAATTTGCTGACCATATAGAATAAGAAGAGTTTTACGGCTTAAATCAATTTGAATTAACATTAAATTGGTCAGCAGTGTTTTTACTTAATAAATTGTCGACATAATTTTATATAATATATAAAATTTGCATACATTATAAAATGAGTAACAATTTCACGGCAAAATATATTTTTCTCTATATATCTAACTGGTCAGCAGTTTCCCTATATATCTAACTACAACTACAACTACAAATATTTTATTGCATTAAAACAACATGTTCCATAGCAATACAATTTTTTATACAAAGACATGGTTTACAGAAGAGCACAATAATATAATATATATATGTATCTGCATTAAAGATGACTAGTTATTTCGCAAGTTTGCATAGTATATATATTTTGCTAAATTATTAATTATTGCTTTTGATTTTGCACATATGAGATTAACAAATTTCTGTTTCGTAGGCCACGTATAATAATATCTCTTTATATATTTTGATCTTAAGTCCTGGAATTTAGAACATATTAATACAAAATGATACTCATTTTCTATAAGACCGGCATTACAATTACTACACAATCTTTCATTTCTTGATATATTTCTATGCCGTCCACGTTCAATAGCCAAACTATGAGAAGATGAACAAAATTTGGATAAAGCTACCCTAAATTTCGGTTCAACGATAAAATCCAAATAGTTTTCAAATTCGAATGAATGTTTAAATAAACAATATGTATCTAATCTAGACGAGTTATTAATTCACGGTAGGGAATCACGTGACTTTTACGGTTACGCGTACAGACAATATGGCGGCCTAAAAACCTCGCTTCACATGTGTTTTTCAGGTAATTCTTTATTATATCCCTTTTACTTACATACGAGACCTGTTGCAGCCTACGCGGAATAAAGAATTGTTGCCGCCTATACCTTATTTTCCACCCCTGTGCGCATAGCTTTTACAAACACTCAAAAATTCAACAGGAATTTTCAATGTTAACAATAATTTTTCGGGTAACATTCACGCAATCTTTGTATTTTTTATTAATTTGATTAAACTACGCCGAGTAAGCAAAGAGAAAATGTTCATAGAATTTCTTTATTTGAAAATGTAAATATTAGGCATGTTAAATGTTGACTAGTCATTTTCATTTCCAATACACGAGGGAAAAATGATTTGGGTAACGGCCACGCAAACTTTAATTGTTGATAACTCCCACGCAATATTTTATGTGCAAGCATTATCTATGCAGGGTATAGCCTAGATATTGATTTAACAAAATCATGATCGATGTATTTCTCCTTCAGCCATAATGGGCGCATGTGATGAAACTTGCCTTTTTGCCGCCTTTTTTGTCAAGTCATAATACATAAGACAAAAGTCATAATACATAAGTCATTAGTCATAAGACAAAAGTCCTAAGACAAAATGGCACTTATGGGCTTCCGTAATACAGAGATATAGATGAATTAATCGCAGAAATTAAAATAAAAGTCTCAAATATAAGAAGGAGGTCGATTTCAGTTTAAGCACAATTACAGTTGTCATTTTTCATAGTTTGCAGATATGGACGGTTGCAGCTCGGATTTTGTTTGTGGATAATGTTGGAAAACATTTCGTTCACGGACAGGTCTTAATGACCACTTAAACTGGCTACTCGGCACAGGACCTTTTATACGTTGTGGCAAATTGAACTGTCACAGGTATGGCATTTTACTGTTAATATTAAGATTTTAAAGACATTCAAATCATTTTATCACCTAGTCTCTTATGTAACCAATTATTTTTAAAATTAGTGTCTGTATTTAACATAATTATGTTTTTTTTATTCTAAAGCAAAACAAAAACAACAACAACAAGAGGGCCATGATGGCCATGAGTCGCTCATCAGAAACAACTGCTTTTCAGTGTTGGATTGTCAATATATTCTAATATTAAATTTGAGCATAGAATATGTTTAAACAATAATTTGAAGAAATGCCATGACCTGGGGCATTTAAGCTTTAGCTTAAACGGTACCAATCAAAGTAATATGAGCAAACTTGATAAAAGACTACCAAAGAATGCTACAGACAAAGTTTGGTGATCATCAATCAATTAGTTCTCTACGAATAGACATATAACGGTATTTCTATTTTTAGCTTTAGTGGCCCCTAAAAGGGGCTAATCGGATTAATATAAAAGAGTACCCAAGAATGCTACAGACAAAGTTTGGTGATCATCCATCAATTGGTTCTGAAGTAGAAGATATTTTTAGCAATAGCGGCCCCTAAAGGGGGCCAATGAAATTAATGTGAGCAAACTTGATAAAAGATTACCCAAAAATGCTACAGACAAAGTTTGGTGATCATCCATTCATTAGTTCTATAGGAGAAGCTGTTAAAACATATTTCTATTTTTAATTTTAGTGGCCCCTAAAAAGGGCTAATCAAATTCATATGAGCAAACTTGATAAAAGACTACCCAAGAATGCTACCGACAAAGTTTGTTGACTATCCATCAATTAGTTCTGTAGAAGAGAATGTTTAAAGGTTTTTCTATTTTTAGCCCTAGGGACGCCTAAAAGGGGCCAATCAAATTAATATGAGCAAACTTGATAAAAGACTTCCCAAGAATGCTACTGACAAAGTTTGGTGATCATTCATCAATTAGTTCTGTAGAAGAAGATGTTTAAAGTTTTTTACTATTTTTAGCTCTGCTGACCCCTAAAAGGGGCCAATTGGAATGACATGTGCAATTTAAGTGTGACTGTCACAAGGATGCTACAGACCAAATTTGAAGTAAATCTGCCTAGTAGTTTCAGAAAAGAAGACGATTGTGGACGCATGACGACGGACGATCGACGCCGGAGCTTCCCCCTTTGATACTAATAGCTCACCCTGAGCCTTCGGCTCTGGTGAGCTAAAAAAAACAACCCTAAAGCATATTAGAATGGGTCTTTTTTTTTACAAACTAGGTAATAAAATCTAGAGGACTTATGTTTGAATGTTATTTTAATACTAGATTAAACTGTTCTTTAATGTAAATTTTTAAGCTTAATTGCCGTGAATTTATAGGTAATAATAAATCTATCTTTATATTCTAGATCCTGGTCCTGGCTGAAATTGAGAGTATTGCAGCTGTAGCTTGTATACCATACATTTAACATGAAAAGGACTGTCAGGTTTGTTGAATTGAAATTCTAATATTTAATATATATATATATATATTTCTTTACAAAGTATTAATATTGCAACTACTGGACATTTATCTTGTCTTAATAATACATGTATATTATTTTTAGAATACTTGTGTAACATTATTTATATAAAATTTACATATTTGTTGTTTTCAGGATGCTGCATACAGTGGTCTTAGCTAGAGCCTAGAATGAATATTTCTTAGGAATATGCTGCAAGTAACTGAAGGGGAGCAGTTTTTCTTACCAATCATAGGTGAGACTTCTAAATAGCTTCTTATAAAAAAGTTTCTGTTGTTTTATGTACATAATTTGCTGTCAATATGAAACTTCAGCTGTATCTTAATTTCTATGCTGTTTTATTATGTAAATCTTAGAGATAATCATTTTAAGATAAAACATATCACTAAGTTGATTAATTATATATATATTTAAGATTGACCAAGTCACTTTTAATTAGTAACTTCTTATTTTATTTGCAGAAGCAGTAAGAGACAGCCAACGAAGTATTCAAACACCATCATGAAACACTTAAGACATACCAGGAGAGATCTAGAAGAAGTACTAGTAGTACAGTGGAACAGATTGCACTTGAACTGTCTTTTTTTTTGTTAAACAGTTAAACTTTGTTACTTTGCTTTATATTGAAATTGAAGTATGTTGAAATGACAATGAAACTTTAACGTTGTGCCAACGTTGAATTTCAACGTTGTTTAAACTTTCAAATCCGAACATAAATCCAACGTTATTTCAACGTTAAAATCTCACCATAATTCAACGTTGTTAAACGTTTATGTGCTTGCTGGGTTAATTCTATCCAGGACCTATTGGCGGTATTTCCAATATTATTCAAAATTATTTGAAAGGCTGAGGCTAAATGCATCAATCATGATTTGTTAAATCAATATCTAGACTATAACCTGCATAGATATTGCTTGCACATAAAATATTGCGTGGGAGTTATCAACAATAAAAGTTTGCGTGGCCGTTACCCAAATCATTTTTTTCTCTTGTGTGTTGGAATAGAAAATGACCAGTCAAACATTAAAACATGCTAATATTTACATTTTCAAATAAAGAACTTCTTTATGAACATTTTCTCTTTGCTAACTCTTACGTAGTTTAAATCAAATTCATAAAAAATACAAAGATTGCGTGAATGTTACCCGAAAAATAATTGTCAACATTGAAATTCCTGTTGAATTTTTGAGTGTTTGTAAAAGCTATGAGCACAGGGGTGGAAATAAGGTAAAGGCGGCAAGCAATTCTTTATTCCGCGTAGGCTGCAACAGGTCTCGTATGTAAGTAAAAGGGATATAATAAAGAATTACCTGAAAACACACATGTGAAGCGAGGTTTTAGGCGCCATATTGTCTGTACGCGTAACCGTAAAAGTCACGTGATTCCCCTACCGTGTTTAATTGAGGAATACCAACTTTGATAGAATATGTCTAAAATTCGTTGTTTAATATAATACTAAATCTATATGTATAAGTAAACTGATTTTCCACATATAAAACAAGCCAGTCTGCTCTAAAATAGTCTTAACAGTATATGCCAGTTTTTACACCACTATAAGTTACACCATTGTCGGCATCTGTTTTTAACATAATATATATTTTATACAATAAAGTTCGTTCATTAAGTTTAAGAAGTTTTAACCAGTATTTGATCAATATTAGTTTTCTATTAATGGAAACTGGTGTACGACCAAGTTCGCCATATAACACATCTACATTGGTTGATTGTTTCACACATAACAATCTTCTACAAAACTTTGTGTGTATAATTTATATGTTCGGATGTCCCCACACTTCTGCAGCATAATTTAATGTTGGTAAAACAATACTATCAAATAAACTTATCATTTGGGAAACTGGAAGTTCCAACTGGTTACATACAATAAATAAATTATGTAGTGAATATGACGCATGTTGCGCAATATATCTTTGAGTTCTGTTCCAGTTCCCCCATTTTTAAAAGATACACACCTAAATATTTAAAAGATTCTACAATTTCAATTCTAGTGTTATACAAAAAGAAATCATAAGATGTATGTCTACCATTTTCAAAAAAATCATTACTTTTGTTTTAGATACATTATAATTTCAGATTCCGACATATTGCAATAATGTTTCTATATCATTCAAGATAGATTGTAATGAATTTGGATCATGTGTGAAAACTACAGCGATCGTCTGCCAATAACAACAAAATACCTGTAATATCCATCAATTGTTAACAATACCAGGAATGTTCCTATTTATATTATTTAATATAAGTCATTGAGAAAAAATAAACACAATATGGATACTTGCTGGATCTCTTGTTTTACTCCAATCTTAGAATTAATTAGATCAGAATGCATGTTTTTTAATATTTAACAAAAGATTTAACAATACCATACATTGACTTGATTGGCACTTGATTGCACTTATTTTGTACTTATATTTTTCATTCAGTAACTTTCTCCATAAAAAACCCTATCAATACGGTCAAACATTTTCTCCCAATCTAGAAATGCTACATAGAGTTTTCTTCTTACTCGACAAAAGTCTTTGTTATTATAGCATGTAGAACAAAAATACAGTCAATAGTTGACTTATTCTTTGAAAACCATATTGATTATCAATAAATTTTTTCATGTTTATCACCCCAAATTTAATAAGTTAAAAATTAATTTAATAAAAAATATTTTTACATTTAAAATCCCACATTTTTCACGACCGGGGACGGCGAGTAAAAAAAGTGGCATTTTTAATTTTTGAGTGAAAATTTTATACCTTTTTTTACAAAAACAAAAAAAATTAACCTTTTTTTTAAATTTTCTTATCAAAAAAAAAGGGTTAAAACCCCCTTTTTGCTTGCTACGCAACTGCAATTGAAACACGCGCAGAAAAATTATTATTGCGTTTTTTTTAAAAACGGATATTTTTTGCCTCCCTTTTTGTACTTTCACAAAAAAACAACTTTTTTAAAGTTGTATGGGTTTAATAATAAATTTTTAAATATTTGGTGTTGGGTTTTAAAATTTTTTATTTAAAGACCTTTTTTCTATATTCAGATAGTTTTAAAAGCAAAATTCAAAAAAAGTTGTTTTTTTTTTTTATCGTTTTTTTCAAACAAAAGGCAAAAAAAGCCCCTTTTAAAAATAAATTTTAAAGTTTTAACCCCGCCCATTTTTATATTTTTTTTTATATTTTTTTTTTAAAAAAATATGAAATTTTTGACGGGTAAAACCCCCAATTTTCTTTTGGATAAAATTAAATAATTTTGAGTATTTTTTGGAAAACAAAATATTTTTTAAAAGGAAATTTCCCCAAATTTTTTTGCTTATGAACCCCCCTTTTAAAAAAGGGGGTACTTAAATCCCTTCCCCCAAGTTCAAAAATTTACCATCATTAAATATTTTATTATAAAAGGTGTGAAAAATGGACAAATTTATAAATTGAATTTAAATACTTCTGCAATAATGGCATTTCCCTGGGCATTTGGAATTTTTTTGCAAAAATATTGAAATTTTTTTCCCTCGATTTTTAAATTTCAAATTTAAATTTTAAAATCATTTTATGTAATCATTATTTAATCATTATTTTATGTTTCTTTACAGGGGTTAAAACCCGGGACAAACTATTAAAATGAATACTTATATCAATACTTATTTTTTCTATTTTCTATAGTGGGTTTGGGCCTTTTTGGGTTGTTCTAAAAATTTCAAAAAAAAAATTTTTTGGGGGTTACATTTTCAAATTTTTTGAAAATCGTTTCCCCCTTGTTTTTTGAAAAAACGTTTAATCTAATTTTTTTTTTTATATCCCCTTTCTTTTTTTAGGGAAAATTTTATTCTCTTTTCGTTTTTTTTCTCCCCAAAAAACATTTCTTTTTCTATTTAATGTTTTTTCGGGCCCTTTCAAAAGATTCAGGGCATCCCCCACTTTTTGGGTATTTGTATTTAAAACACCAAAACATTTGTTTAAACTTTCCTTTAGGGAAAGTGTTTTCCCTTACTATTCTCTGTGACTAAAATTTGTAAAATTTTCAAAAACAACCCGGTCTTGGATTTTGGGGTTTTGGTTTTTTAAACCAAGCGATGGGCTCTATCAAACTCTTTTCTCAGTATTTTTTTTAATTTGTTTTTTTAAATTTAAAATTCTTTTACAATGGGGCCCCCTTTAATTGGGGTCTGTTGCTTATCATATTTTTTGTGGCAAAACATTAAATTTTGGTCAGTGTTACTTTTAGGGGGAATTTGTTAAAAACATGGTGCCCCGGTGTTTGGTATGTATTTCCCGGTTTAACCCTTTAAAATTTTTAGTTTTTCCCTTCATTTTTCTAAATTCGTTGTCAAATGCTGTTCTAAGTTTTTTCCCGGGGTTTTTACTTAATTTTTTGATTGTAGAATTTAAGGTTACATGTTTTTGGGAGGGTTTTTTACATATTTTTAGTTGCCCGCAATTCGGTTTTTTTCTTATATATTTTAAACTGATAAATTTTTACGGGGTTTTTTTACTTTCGAAACTCCCCCTCTATATTTTTCCCTTAATATCTAATCTTTAGTTTCAAGCCCCTTTGAGTTTACTTTTTTTCCCAATATTTTCAATTTTTTTCAAGCGGAGCGATTTTAAAGGAAAGGTTCATATTTTTTCCAAATTTTTAGTATACCCCATGGTGGATTTTGGGTTTGTACCTTGATTCATTTTTGGTGTACCTCTTTTGGCCCCCAAGATATTTTTTGATTATACTGATAGGGGGTGACTGCAATAATTTTTTCCAGTAAATGATTTTTAAAAATTTCCCAAATTATATATTTCAATTTTTTTTAATTACGGTTGGTTATCGTATCAAATTTTGTCATTACTGCCCTTTAGGATGATAACTTTAAAAGCCTTTTTTTTACATAAAAAAAAGCCCAAAAAACAATCCCGAAAAATAGGTGGGCAGTCAATGCCACAATCTAAAAAATGAAAAAAAAATAATGTTTTTCTTTATGCTTGTTAGCGCACAGGTAAAAACCGTGTCAAAAAATGGTTATCCGAAACAAAAGTTGACTACGGGTTCTTTTTTTTTACCTCGAACATAAATTTGTTTAAAGGGTTTTATGCATACATAATATGAATCGAAATTTTTTTTCACTGTGATAAAAAAAATCCCAAAAAAAAAAAGAATAGAAAAAAAAATAAATATTATAACTAAAAAATTTTATATCATAAGAAAAAACCAAAAAGGGGAAAACGAAAATAAATGAAAAATTTTATAATGATAAAAAAAAAGGAAGAAGAAAAACCCTTTGGGGTTATAAAAGGGAAATAGGGGGTTCAACCTATGAGAAAAAAACCCTTTAAAAGTTAAAAATTTTAATTTTCAATTCCCGGACAAAAACCATAAGGGTAATACGCAAAGATACTTAAGAAAAAGTATATAAAATTTGAAAGTTTTTTACTTTTAGAAAATGGAAAAATAACCCAGAAACCCCCTTTTTGGGTTTTTCCCATTCCCGTTAAGCCCAAATTTTTCACCCTTAGGACAGTACGTTTTTTCTTTCGTTTTTTTTGTTTACTATCACTATTTTTACTGCCCTAGGATAAAAATTTTTTTTTTAAATTTATCTAATTTTTTCACCCAGATTCTACAATTTCAGCTTTTTAAAATAAATATTTTGATTTTATTGTATTTTGTCATAGATAAAATCAAGAATGACAGGGCGGTTGAAATCTTTTTTAATATGCCCTTTGGGCATTTTCATCCCCGTTTTTAAATTATCATTTAAAAAGGGATATCTTTTAAAAACAGGTTGTTTAATTAATAAAATTTCAATTTATAACAATTAGCACATTATTAATTTTTGTTCAATATTACTTATAACAATTATACGAACAACAAATAAGGAAACAGAAATCGACTTTATTTCATATTTGCACTAAATTACGACATAATAATTTATATTGGTTAAAATATACATTACGCTATATGTACAATGTATATATTTTAACCTATGAGTGCATTGAAGAGGTTAATACACGGCAGGTGAGGCCGGAAGGTGATAATCGGCCCGCCAAATTGAATAATGGACCGAGGGCTTTAGCCCGAGGGCCATTATTCATTTAGGGCCGATTTATCCACCTTCCGCCCTACTCTGACGTGTTATTAATGTCTTTTAATACACTTGGATATCTAATAGTAGCATTTAAAAAAAGAAAAGAAAAAAAAAAAAAACAAAGTTCTTTCGTTGAAATTCTTGTCGTACTCCTTCTTAACTGTTCCTTGTACAGAGATGTTTTACTGTTTGTGTGTTCCAAACCAGTTAAAATCTAGAAGCAAGTTTTATTTTTTATTTTTTTCGGAATAAATTTGTTCGTATTTTTTCTTCAAATTTCAAATAGTAACAAAAATGTGTTTGTTTAACTAAATTACGCTTAAGCTCTCATATAATAAAAAAAAATCGATTAACGTGCTGACAACCTACTTTCAATTTTACAGTTAACTGGTTTGATGACGTAAAATATGACGTCATTTTGTTTCAGTTTGTTGCACGTGTACAATGTTCTGCGGTGCTGATAACTAGTTTCTTCTTGGCCCCGGGGCCGCAAACTCATAATAGGTCACGTGACACTCATAATTCAGTTGAAAATCATTAGGCAATTTGTTACTATATAAAAGTAACAAGTGTTATTAAAAGTTTATTTGCATACTTGAAACAAATTATGATTTTTGTACATTTTATTTGAAAAATTTTTTAAAATTTTAACCAAATAAAACCCACTTGAAAAAAATTTTTTAATTTTATTAAAAAAAATTTATATAAAAAATAAATTGAAAATAAAAGTATATTTTAAAATTAAATTTTTTAAAATTTAATATTATATTTGTAATTTTTGACATTTTAAAAAAAAACCATTTTTTTTCAAGTATTTTCGACTTGCCTTTTTAAATATCACCAACGGAATTTTAAACCCCTTAATTTTTTTTCCCCCTTTCTTTGTTTTAACTTCACATTTTTCCCAAAATCCTTCTTTTTTTTTAAATTTAGCATTTCCCTTTTAATCTATATCGTCAGTTTAATTCGCGGTTTAGTGCCCCCCTTTCCATGATAGTTTGTCGGTGATTTAGTAAACTGCCCCAAGCCAGGTTTAACGACGACAATGCGAACGATATTTTTTCCAAAATGTCGTTTTCGCATTGTGAGTCGTTCCTTTTGGGTCGAGTACCCGGTTTCGCGTTTTGATTTGTCCCTTCGCATTGTGAGGTCTTTTGCAAGTTGGGGTTCCGTTTTTAAAAAATTTCAAAAAAATTTAACGCGACATTTACCCAAATTTTTTAAAAATTTTTCCGCTTCCGAGTCGAGTGTAAATTCGCTTTTGTCGGGGCTGTATCGATTTGGGTTTGCCCGGTTCCCCTTTTGTCGATGTCTGGAAATCATTTAAAAACCCTCACACTCACAATGCGAAGGAAAAATTTGCAAAACCCGGAAAAAATCGCGAAAAACGCAAGTGGAAACGCAAAAGCAAAGGGAGGGCTGGGACAATCAAGCGACCTGACAACGCAAGCGACATTTTTTAAAATTTGATTTGTTGCATCTTTCATTATATCTCATGACTTAATGAAGACCGATCCCCAATATTCACCTTTTTTAATTTTAATTATAATTTAATTTATAATATTTAAATTTTAACATAAATTACATGCCTCTAGAAGAATCCTCTTTTCTTAGTTTTTCAGATTATGTATCACAGTAGGGCCAAGCTTCACCCTAAATCTATATGACAATGACAATGTCTTTTATAGCATAGGCGGTGATAGGGTAAAATACACATTCAATGTTTATAAAAATTAAATTTAAAAAAATAAGTAAAATTTTGTCCCATGTTAAATTTTTTTGGAGAAAGCTGGGAAAAATAGAAAATTGAGGGACAGTACAGGGGTAGGAAGATAGGTGTTTTGAGGGCCCGGGTTTGTTGCCCACCGCTAGACCCCCCCGTTAAAACTTGGCCCAGAATACCCAAAAAAAACCCCCAAACTATACAAAGTGATATGTTTAATTGTACAGAAAAAATTTTATTTATCCCCTTTATTTTTTTTTAGATAATATTTTTTCGATTTACAAAATTATACTAGACAATAAGAAATATATATAAAAAGGTGATTGTACCAAAAATATTGTGTGTACAAATTTTTCTGTACAGTTTCTTGTAAAAAAAGGGAATTTGTTTTACAGATTTTTAAAATGTTCCAGAACAAATTCTTTTTTTAAAATGTTTTGTTGGCATAAAATCAATTTCTTTAAATTTTATTTCTTGGGGTACAAATTTTTCAGGAATTTTTTCCCAATTTTTTCTGATTCCCCTTTTTTTAAAAGGGAAAAAAATATTAAAATTTAAATTTTTACATTTTTTATAACTAATCTTTGAAAATTTATTATAAATGTGTTTTATGTCCCTATATTTCGGGTCCCCGTTTGTGCCTGAAAAATTAACCACAAAAAGGGGAATCTGAACCTTTTATCCCCCATTTAAAGTAAAAAGGTCGCATATGCCCCAAATTTTATTTTTGTAGACGAAACCCCCAAAAAAAAATGTCTATTAAAAGGATGCATAAAGAAAAAATTTTGATTTTTGTAAAAAAATTGATATACTTACATTTTCCCAAACCAAAGAGAACCGAAGTGATACACACTGCCCTCGGACTATACTGTACACTTACCAACCGTAGAAGAAGATATCCGAGTGATACACACTGCCCTCGGACTATACTGTACACTTACCAACCATAGAGAAGATATCCGAGTGATACACACTGCCCTCGGACTATACTGTACACTTACCAACCGTTGAGAAGATATCCGAGTGATTCACACTACCCTCGGACTATACTGCCCTCGGACTATACTGTACACTTACCCACCATAGAGAAGATATCCGAGTGATACACACTGCCCTCGAACTCTACTGTACACTTACAAACCATAAAGAAGATATCACACTGCCCTCGGACTATACTGCCCTCGGACTATACTGTACACTTACCAACCATAGAGAAGATATCCGAGTGATACACACTGCCCTCGAACTCTACTGTACACTTACAAACCATAAAGAAGATATCACACTGCCCTCAGACTATACTGCCCTTGGACTATACTGTACACTTACCAACCATAGAGAAGATATCCGAGTGATATACACTGCCCTCAGACTTGGCCTCTTGAGCTTTCTCATTATGTAACACTCTAGCAACGGCAAGACCGAAATATGCACCAAATGCATGGATATACATGGATTCTCCCACATCCACAGCCTGACGGAAATATAAGTAGTTATAATTGACAAAAACATGCAGTATGAAACAAAAGTTATCTGTAACATATTTGATCGATCAACAGTAAATATTAGTTAATTCATATATAATTATATCTATAAGTTAGGATAACAAAAAATATAACAGAGAGAACGTGTACCATTGATAATTAATATGTAAATACGTCATTTGATAACAAACATATTGTATCAATATTATTTGTGTGGCTTTCGGTAGGGTAGTTCACTTTTTGGTATTCGCTAATTAAGTTACATGCAAAAAACGTTTTTTCCACTTTTCGACACAGGTGCTAATGGCATTGATTTGACCTAAAATGTGTTTGACCTTGTTATTTATACAATAAAATTTCAATATATTAAAAAAAAAAATTTCACTGTTATATTATTATAGACAAGGTATGCAACATTCGCATTTTCATATTCATACCATGGCATTATTGCGATTTCACCATCGTTTATCATCGAACCATCGTGTATCGCTAGCTATTCACGATTGTCTGAACGAAACACTGTAAAACGGAACACCGTTACTTAAATATCACCATTTAAAAGTATGTAAAATCCAGTTGTTTGCATGTGAGTTCGACCCGTTTGATCTCTTTGTTGATGTACTTCAAGCGTAAATACCAGCTTACAATGTACATGTCATGACGGTCTCATCTTTCGGACCTGGGTGATTTCTTACTTTCGGGCTTTAAAACATTAACTAGCGGTTAATTGGGGATCTGTAAATAGTAAATTGTAATAGAAAAATATATTGCGCATTGATTCCATGCAAAAATCCGACGATATTACCGCTCGGTGAAAAATTATAACACAGATAACCGGCGTACCCATAATTTTCGTACCTGAATGTTGCATACCTTGTCTATAATAATATAACAGTGAATTTTTTTTTTTTTTTTTTTTAATATATTGATATTTTATTGTATAAATAACAAGATCAAACACATTTTAGGTCAAATCAATGCCACTAGCACCTGTGCTTTTCGATATTCACCTTATTATCGATCAACAACTTGGGTATAGGGCGTTTATGAAGCTATATGGGAGGAGAGCGTATCTCCATATTCGACTTTAAAATATAGTATGTTTATAAAGACGTATTTCTTTCTGTCTTTCTTTTCGAAATTCATTGCAAGTTTTTTTCTTTAGAACGCTTTAATTCTATAACCATCATGCCACTTTTTTCGGCATTCACCCAAAGTGAACCGACGACGACCAACTATAATGAACAGACAGTGGTCTATATCTTATCTGACCTTAAGCCGTGAAGCTTTTTTTAAAAATAAAGCCTATTTTCTTTACACCAGGACCTCACAAATGTTTTATTTCACGGTGAGTTTATACATATATACACACTTTACATGAATTTGAACTTTTTATCCATTCTCATTTTGATATTATGTTACCGTTTATGTATTTTTCGTCCGTTTTAATATATCCGTTTGTTATTGACCCAGTTTTTTACCATCCCCAACAGAGCTGCAGAGCTGTTTTAAAGAGTTTTAATGGCGTAATTTAATCGGGGTATCGTGTTGTATTTTATGACGACAGCAGTCTCATCAGCTGATTTATGTTTAACATTAAAATATCATCTTTCTTCCCATACATAAATGAAACTTCTTTTAACACCCATGCATATATTATTAAACAAGCTCATTTTTAAAAGAAGTATGTCATTGTTGAAAAATGAATGAGAAAAATATGCAGTCAGAGATAAAATTTACGTATTTTAACTTAGCCTCTAATTTCAATTATTTTGTTTGCCGTTTTCTGGTATGTGAATGTAACAATTTTCTATGGAAAGATGTGAAAGTCCGGCATATAACTGAAAAGAATCTTGTATAGGTTACTGTTAATTTTGGCATATTTCATCACTTTCCATATTGCATATAGTTCTACAGGTACATCACAACATTCCGTCGCTTAAACGTTTTTTAATAAAGATTTGATAGCTAAATTTGACCAGACATATAAAATCCTATAAATTATAAAAGGAAACACCTTAATCTTTACTAACACAACACAGAAAGATAACTATTTCTAAATCACACTTATCATAAACAACATACCCCTAGCTTATCAAGTCCGATCCATTCGTTGACTTGTGAGAGTACAACCTCAATGATCGCCATCACCAACAGTTGTGACGGACTTGTCTTACCGAGAACAGCTCCGAATGATATCAACACTGTAGCTGCAGCGAAATCTGCTGACAACATCCTGAATTATACAAAGAGTTGCTGACAACATGAAGAATTATACACAACATTCTGGATAATAGAAACTGTGAATTGCTGACACAATCATGGGTAATGCAAACTGTTGACAACACTCTAATAAACAGCAATCGCCTAGGCTAGACCGTATGTTGATTTTACATAAAGCTATTTTCTACAAATATGACATTATGGACATTTGTAAGATACATTTTTAAAGCCCATCCGAAAAGTGGATAGAGGTAGCAGATGTTCCCTTGCTGATAAACCTTTACTCCTTTTTAACCCTTCTATGCGCACCCATCATACTACAGACATTTCAATAAAAACGGAAAGCAATTGTTTCTATTTTGCGAAACTAGAAATAACTGTTCATTATAATCAGACAAAACAGATTCAGTTGAAAATGTTAAATTGTGCTTACTCTCCAAGATGGACAGGGAATTTTGCATGACCATGTGCCACGTGGTGTATGATCCCGCGTACAATATACGCCCACTGTAGAACGAACGCCGCCACCAACAGATTCACGGAAACTGCCGAGAACCCGTAACGCTTGAGGAACGTCATCAGAAACCCAAAACCGATGAATATCATCACGTGCACATCTTGGAAGTCTGAAAGATATATAAATGCCGTGTCATTCTAAATAGAAACTCGAAATAGTTTTATTTATGATACTGTTTCATCATAATGATAATTACCATCAACATCGTTGTTGATGCAAATGCACCTGAGTTGAACAACCAACATCCCTGAAAGTTTTGTGCGCTATTGCTCCGAGGAGAGTTCATACCTCAAAAAAAACTACCTGAACTTACCACTGGCACCTTTATATTAAGCAGACACCAATATGAATGTTAAACTGTTCGAACAGAGGACAGTAATACATTGTGATGAATTGTTTCACCTCTTCACACAGACAGGCATACGACTCTACTGTGATAAATACCAAACATCTTATGACTTCCCTCGCCGAGTGGTCAATATCTCAGTTTCCTGCCACTCACTGCTGCAGGTTCGAATATCATGACCCGTCAGAGATGAAAAAAAAATCGATTATAAATGTGTAAGATGTCCAGCTAGCTAACGGAAGTTCTGCAACTCTTACCACGCTAGCCTGAAATAATGCACGGACAAACACCTGTGGTTATTCCATTCTCCACAACTTAAGCAAAAGGTGATCAGAGGTTGATTGCTGGTAAGATTTGTTCGATTTTATGCAATGTGACAACAGAATGTGCCGAATTTTAACGATCGGATTATTCAAAGTTTGGTACGTTCAATACATTGTGGTGAACTATCTGAACTCCTATTTATAAACTCTAATTTTATTTTATTTTATCCTTTTTTTAAAGGCCAAAAAAATGATTTGTCGTAAAAGTGTAAAAGTTGCCGACAAAACATCATATAGACAACAAGGGGAATATTAAGTTTAAATATCTTATAGACTGCGATAATGGCAAACAATGATAAACATCTATAATATATGTATGCAAATATACGTTTAAGTTATGCCATTAGCAGGTTATACTGAAACGGTTATTATTTACTACTGTATTTACATTTTAATGTAATATACTTGTTTAATAAACCATTTTTGCTTAATTTAGTTTTGTACTTGTTATAAGATGCAGCATTTACAAATAGAGATAGTCCATTGGTGTAGTGGTAATACCCTTTGACAACAAACCCAGGGGTTGCGAGTACGATCTCCGCTACCTCAAAAACTATAATATCAAACTTCTTAGTCTTTCAGATCAGACTTTACAAACCAAGGTCACGTGTTTCATTGCTTTATACCCTACATCTTACATAACAATTTGTTTATTTTGGAATGGAAAAGTATATGTATCTATTGTAATAACCATTTAATAATTTCTTTTACATATTATATTTTCTTTGACTGATATGTGTTATTTTGTGTGTGTGTTTTTATTTTTATTTTTTTCATTTTAGAAGGCCGCATTGTAAATAAGATGTTGCAATCTGTATATGTCCTAATGTGTTACCTTCGATAAATAAAGTTATTATTATTATGATTATAATTATTATTTATTATTATTATTATTATTATTATTATTATTATTATTATTATTATATTATTATTATTATTACATTATTATATTATTATTATTATTAATTATTATTATTATTATTATTGACTCTTAAATTATAATGTTCTTAAAAGTGCATTCCAATTCGACGTGAATTACATTCGCCAGTTTGGATCATGCGGCAAGTTCCTATGAATATTTTGTTGGGAAAAGTATCAATAGTTGTTATTCGTGGGGGTATATGATTTTGCACAGCGTCCGACGGTCCATCCGCACCGTACAGCACACCTAATTTGAATGATAACTGATAAGTTTTTTTTGTTCTTTTTAGGGGGGACTACAAACACTTACCAGTATTAAGGCGAAAGAACTTGCAATCTTATCTACATATGTCTACTTCTTTAAAGCAGATGATCGTTAAGAATTTCTATGAAATAAGCCGAGTATGGCAAATGATATTGTGAAAATTGTGGACGAGAGTATATTCCCCTTTAATGTTTGGACAATATTAAAGATTCAGCATATAACAGTTGGAGGTACACTATATGATAGTCATGTTGACAAACGACGACAGTTTGTTAGCGTGTAAAATGATATTTAATTACCTCCATGCTTTGACTTGACAAAAAAGAAGTCAGTGAACTGTTTAGTAACCTTGGCCCCGTTTTTCTTTTAATTTCAGTAAACACCGGATGGTCATTTAAAACGGTAATATAACTAGTTTGTTGGCCTTAAGAATGTCCGCTGATCTTTTTAAGATTGCATTGTAGCTGTAGATTGAAAAATAAGATATTTTTTACAAAAGGGTACAAAACAATAAACGAGCTCAATCATACCCTATTGTGTAAAGTTTACACAGATTTAAGGCTATTAAATGAAAACCGCATTAACTGACACTGTATGTACATCTTGTCGACCTTAATCTTTTTTTGTCACGGTGTTGTGATAAAGAAAAAAAACTAAATATTCTGTAATACAAGAGTTTCATTGTTTGCAACTTTTGAAAAATGTATCCAGTGGTGAAATCTGAGAACGATGAATTAAAAATAATGATGCTTATGATGGGTTTAAATACCGGTTATATACATTTTACAAAAAAATGTACAGCGTTTAGCCACGCCAGTTAATACGAATTTAACCTGTTTTTATTACATTTGTATATTTATGCATCAAGAAACGGACACTAAATAGATGTAATCAATACGCTGTAAACGGAATTTGTTGAGTCTTTAAATGCGTAACAAATTGTTATTTCACATTTTATACTTTCTTCTCTTTTTTCGAAATGATGCCCCTGTAAATGTATGGAATTTAAGATTTGGACATGGTTTATAGATAAATAAAATAATAATTATAGATTGGTATAAAATAACTTTTTTATATTTCATGAAAAATTATTTTTTATGTCTGTAATTGCAGTATATATTATATTAATGACCTTAATTGAAAATAATTATGTATATGATGATGATGTACTATGAAAAAAAATCAAAATCAATTCTACAATAACCGTAATTATTGCGTATGCCATATTTTGAAATACACTTATATTATTGTAAAAATCTCTTGAATGTTTTTCTTTTGAATTTGTTCTTAATCGTTTTCATGTATTATTAATCATTTATGTTTATAATTTTATAATAATGAATGTATTTAACATTTGTAGACATGGGACAACATAGACGTAGAAGTTCCGGAATGGTGTTTTTTTCTTTTTTTCCGTCTTTTTTCTTCTTTTTGATCGAATAGATCTAATAACCCGAATGAATAAGAACTGCTTAACAAACTTGTTGATATATTACGCTATCACCCGGCATATTCCATGTGTAAATCACTTATTTTTGGGATGAGTAATTTGTTTGGGAATTTTATTTATTGATATTCAAATGTTTATATTTTTGCCAAAATAAGAAGTTTTATCTTTAAAAGATGTATTGAAATAGTACATTAAAAATATATGTAATAGTAAGAAATTTTAGGGTACACAGTTTTGCAGAAAAAAAACAACATCACAACATTATAATGGTTATTTAAATCTGGAGAATAAGTGAACTTACACGGTTTACATTTTTTGTCCTTATTTGGAACTGTTAACCGAGCTACGCTGTAGCGTAGTATTACCAGTAGTTCAAACACATGTGGTTTGTAAATATAATAACATATTTAGTCGTAAAATGTTATTATAACCATGAAGCTTTCTTTTTTACGCTTTTTTTTTTGGTCATGTATATTTTCTATACTTATGACAAGCAAATATGTAAGAGAAAATATTTTAAAAATTGGCGTAACATCACAGGAGTATAGAGGGGTATAAAATAACTGCAAATATACCCCTCTATATTACATATATAGAGGGGTAAATATGCAGTTATTTTTTTTTAATTATTTGCTTATATTTTTCAATAAATGATAGAATGTCAAGCTCCTGTGATTCACATTGATAGTTTGTTCAATTTATACGCTAACCATTGACTTGAAGTAATCTCTCGTAACATATTATAACGTATAACAATAGCTGTTGTAAAACTCAAGTCTTGGTAATGCAACATTAAATATACAACATATTATATATAAACGTCAAA